CTTCTTAGACAACGCAACATAATTATCCATTTCCAATGACTCGTAAAAGTCTCCAACCTCACATAGATCATTCAAAAACTTGTTGATCCGGACCTTATTGTTTGATACAAATGGCGAGAGCTTTGCCATGTACGGTTCCTTTGAGTATGAGGGCTTATTGGCCAAATTCTGCAGCATCTTTGCGATCAAAGTCAAAGTTCTTCGCGGGTGTTCAGATGGAACATTATCGATGAGCATGTATGAACGTGGCGTGACAATTGCTGGGTTCAGAAACCTCAGGAAGAAGAAGCCTCCAATCAAAGTACAAACAACCTGGTCCTTTGCATCCGGGTATTTTCTCCTTGTCAAACTACGAATCTGTTTACAGATCCATCTGATACCATACGGGGTCTCATTGATATTGTCAATGATAGTAGCCAAGAAGGTATTTGCAAGTTCCATCAACATTGTCAAACGTGGCTCAATGATCGCCTGCACCTGCGGGTTTGCCGCGGCTTCTTCCGCTGATACACTTCTTGGCATATTGGCCGGCAAAGTTCCGGTATCCTCTTCGACATTTTTAACCATTCGCTCATACACCTTCAATGGGTTAATTTCCAGATTAAGATCCTTCAATTCAATCAGGTTATTGATCTGCTTGGCCAATACAACTTTAAGATAGCTCTGTCCGGGACCACGGCGGGTGTAAGTTGTCATCATACGGGATACTGGGGTGTTCGCACGGAGCAAGGACGAGTATTCCGGGGTAGTATCGAATTGGGCCGATAATACGGACTTTAAATTGGTGGGGTCAGTAATCAATGTTTCACAGCATATTTAGGCAGTTAGTAAACCACGTACCTGGAACATGGTAAGCAGTAGATGCTCTTCACGGCTCTCATATTGGTTTCCGTAGATGGTAAACATGACGGTCTGCAGAAGTGAATCGATCTCAGACATGCTGACCAGGCGGCAGAGCGATGCAATGTGCCGGGGCTCAGATTGAAGCAGGAAAAATAAATTTCCATACTGCTGGGTCTTTTGATCGTTCGGGAACGTACCCTCTTGCAATTCCGACGATTCATCAAAATGGCTTGCTACCTCATTTTGCTGGGGTGCAATAGCACCAGAAGTTAGCCTCACAAGGGAGAAGGGTAACAAAAGATTATGCAAGGAGACCAGAAACAAACCTCTTCCAAAGCCATCCTATTTTGGATAAGCAGAGCTATCCGTGAATCCAAATACCTCACATCCTTCTCCAACACGAAGTTCTTTTTTGACTGCGATGATATTTTCGCTTTGAGGTCGCGAAGCGTTTTCTGAACTGTAGACACAACGGACAAAAGACACCAAGTATGAGATTCGCGAACTTTCCCCCTACGCAATATAAAAAATCAAAAGAGCAAGGATGTAAAAAGCTGACCTTTCGCAAGTTCATCCTCAATCTCAATGTCCTTATCATGCGCAGACATGGACAGGTACAGCGCAGTAACGCTGTACCTCTTTGATGCCCTGACCGATCTCGGTGCATCCGAACCAATGGTGTTCTGTCTCGTTACCGGGGTGAAGCTCGACGTCGCAAAGCTGGACGACGTGGAAGAGGTGGAATTCCTCGCTGAGGGAGCGAGCATTGTGGTGACAGACATAGATGATGATGAGGCTGAGAAGCCAGGCCTCTGCAGCACGGCTGCTACTGTAGGAAGCGCTATGGTGTCGGTGGTGAATAGAGTTACGCGGTGGAGTTACTTGGTTGTCGAGAGTTAAGCTAAAGGTTGAGGAAGTAGTAGTAGTGGTGGTGGTTGAGCAGTGGTGGTTATAATGGCGGTAATAAAAGGGATCGAAGCTGAGAGAGAAGACGCGAAGGAAGAAAGAACAAAGAAATAACCGTTGACAGACTAGTTAGCAGGCTAGTGGACCGAGCACCGGCGCTGTGTTAGATTAGTTTTTTTGGTTGTTGGGCGAAATGGTTGTTCAGAAGGAGTAGGCGAGTAGAGGGTAAAGGAACGAGAAATGTCTGGTTGGTGGTTGTGGTTGGCTGAACCGACAGCTGGGAGATTTTTCTATTCTATTGCTGTATGTACGAGTAGCAGAGCGATGTTGGTGGAGAGATGGCTACTGAGCAATTAAAGGAAGGAATGAGTGGAATTGGAAACGCTTCGAGACAACCGGTAGGATGGGATGGCTGGTTGAGTGATGGGGTATGGTAGGCTAGTGGGGAGGGAGGGGGGGTGTGTGGGAATGGTAGTGGAAGAGGAGTTGAAGAGTGGAGGGATGCTCCAGGCAGAAGAAATCTGGGACCTGGTGTGGTGATGTATGCGGTAGGTGTTATTACTGTTATTTGGCGAACTGTCCTATCAGTTGCCGACTTTACCAAATAAGTGGTTATGTAGGCAGAGAGGGAGGATGAACGAGGAGTCGTTGTGAGTGGATGGATGGAACGGAGGGAGGGAGGGATGCCGTGTGGGTGTGGTGGATGGATAGAGGAGTTGAAATTCAACGAGGAGAGCTGCTGCAGAACAAATGACGAATGTGAATGCTACAGACAGCTGCTGCTCTTCTGGCGACAAGAGATGACAGGAGTCTGTCTACCAGGTCCTCCTCAGGTCCAGAAGTGCTTTCAAAAATAAAAAATAAAAAAGCAGGTCAGGACCAGGGTTTGGTTGTGGAACAAGTGGTACAAGAAGCAGAAGAAGGGACGCGAATCCGAAACGAAACGCAAGAATAAAAAAAATAACAATAAATAGAACAAGGTATAACAGTAGGATTCACTCGAAGAAGGTTTTGGGGTTGTCGAATGGTTAAAAAAAGAAAATAAAAAATAAAAAATAAAAATAAAAACAGAAAAAGGAAGAAAGTAATATAGGACACAACCTATTCGTCTTTGGAAAAAAAGTAGAAAGCAGATCACCCAGCAGCAGCAGAGGGGAGAGCAGCAAGCAAAAGAGGAGTTGAGAACAGGGAAAGGAAAAAGAGCACTGTGCGGGTGGAGGGGGGGAAAGGGGAGCGGGTAGGTGTAGGGCAAGAGGTACAAGTACTCTATGCAGCGTAAGCAGTGGTACCCTAGGACCGTAGGCGAAAGGAGACCACGATGCACATAAACGGTGGGATGTAGTCTACCAGGGACCAAGCTAAACTAAAAAAAAACCGGACAGAAGAGAAAAAAAAGGGCACCAAGGAACTTGCTCTGCCTAGAATCAGCCCAGGGAACAAGCAGGTACGACTCTGAGTAGAGACTACTGTAATATGATATACTACCCAGGGACGACAATGAGGACGACGACTACTGAACAAGAAGGTAGCTAAGTGGTACCTGATCGATGATAGGAGTAATACAAATACCTTCCAGTTACCGACCCATTTTCTACTCACATAAGTTAGGTACATATAGGTAGGGTATCTAAAGTAGAGCAGGTAATGGATATATCTAGGATAGGAGGAGGGACAAATATGGGGTGGGTGCAGCTAGCAGCAGCACAGCACCGGCGGCACCACCTAGAGTAGAGTGAGGTACTCTACTCCTGCACCGTAACCCCCCCTCCCCTCCCCCCATATTCCCCATCCCACTCCCCCATCTATATCCAACCGGCCCATCAATATAACTCTACTCTACAGTTCTCCCATCACACCCCCCCCCCCCCCCCCCCAAACTCTACCGAAAGTACCGTACATACATGTAAAGTGCCTAGAGTACATCGGCCCACCCGTTTCTCCGCGATACGGAGGTTGCTTTACCATGCAGCATCTCGTTCTAGAGCACTTTAGCAGAGCAAGCAAGAGTACCGACTCCTGCATGCCCACATGCACCACTCCCCCTAGCACTCCACCTACCCTGCACCGCACACATTGGTTCGGCCGAAGCCTAACCCACACTTGCCCTCCCACTCGCTCCTCGCCTAGGCACAACAATCGGTAAGATGTAGGCACACGGTATTCTGCATGCCCTACTAAGGTACCCTTTTTTTCTTTTCTTTTTCCCTTTTTCCTTTTCCCTAGCTACCTAGGCCAGCTTCAGGGGGGCACGGACACAGTCAAGTCGAGCGAGCCTCTAGAGCAGCGCATCACATACCGAAGATAGTTAAAAATACGGTACACCATCCGTACAAGCGACGACCACGCAGAACCGAATGGGCCCTGCCTGCGGGAAAAAAAGTAAAGGGAAGAAGAAAAAAGAGAACATCAAATGGACCCTGCCGACTGCGGGGCCAGATCAGAAAAGAAAAGAAAACAAAAAAAATAAATAAGAAAAATCGATGAGTTCTTTAAAGCTACCTAGTAGAGTACCAGAGTAACGAACCCATCCGAGGTTACATGCCCTCTCCAAAACCATCATCGATCACTCTCTCAAAAAAAGCAACAACCCCCACCACCACCGCAAACAAAACATCCAAGAATGCCAGTGACGTGACGTTATCAGATTAAAATTCCTTTCTATACCCCCTCCTCCGACCCCCCGTTGCCGCGGGTGCCGAATTCGGCTTCCTCCATTGAGCTATGTGGAGGGGAGGGGAGGAGAGAGTGCTGCCATGTCGATAGATGCTGGGTTCTGTACTCTAGACACTCTAGACAGGCGCAGATACTCGACAGCTACAGCACCGGTACCTACATACCCCCCCCCCCCCCCCCAAAATACTCTACTGTGTACCCCCCCCTCAGCGACACGTGCACAGGGTAGGGTTCTTCTGTCATGTATGTACGCAGCTGTGCTTTGCATGATCGAGCGCGATGAACAACGGTTCCACGGACGTCGTCGTTACGTTTCCCGTTTCCAGGCACCGGCACCACGCACAGCACAGCGAAGCTCAGCTCACCACACAGACACTTCATCTCCATCCATCATCACCACCACCACCACTGCATATCCTAACCAAGAAACACAAAAAACAGAAGCAGTAAAAGCCAGAAACATTAAAACAGGAGTCCCATTCATCCCATTTTATCTACCATGGACCACCACTCACTACTACTAGCTACTGACTATCTAGATTACAAAAAAAAAGACAAAAAAAAAAAATCCCGACAAACTACTGCTTAAACGTATGCGACTTCCCCGCGCGCTCCTTCTGTCCACGACTCATGCCCCTCGGCGCATCGCCCGACTTCGCATACGGATCGAACCTCTGCTGCTGTGGCTTCTTGTCCCTCCCCTTCCCCTTGGCCTCCTTATCCTTGTGGCCGTTAAACACGGGCGGCGCCTTCGAATAGTCGAACGCCTGGATCTCGCGCGGCTTCTCTCCATCACCGCTGCCACTGTCGCCAGCAGCACCAGCAGCAGCAAGACGTCGCTTCTCCCGCCGCAGCTCCTTCTTCTCCCGCTTCGACTTTTTGCGCGCGGGCTCCAGGGCCACCACATCTTCCTCTTGCTCCTCCTTTTCCTCGCCTGACGCACTACCCTCTTTCGACTCTTCAGCAGCAGCAGCAGGAACCTCTGCCTCCGCAGCCGCCGTCGTCGGTGCCGCCTCGTCATCCGGCATCTTCCGTTTCCGCGCGCCGCCCAGCGCCTTCACGACAATGACGTCGTCCTCCTTCTTCTTCTGCGCCGCCGCGCCCTTGACATACTGATGCTCTGCCCTCGCACCCGGATCCACGACCACCACAGCCTCCCTCGCCTTCTCACCGGGCGTCACCCACACCGCTGCCGTCAGCGGCGGCAGCTCCACAGCAAGACTAATACTTGCCGCGACAGCGCCGGTTTCCCAGCGGCTACTGATCCCTGCGACGGGCCCCCAGAACGCCGACTTGTGTGCCTGGATCGACGCTGCGTCGGCGGCCGCCGGCGCAAAGATGTCGGTCTTGATGATGGGTACTGTGGCGACCGGCGCCGCCTCTAGTTCCGGCTCGGGTGCGGACGCCTCTTGCGCCGCTGCGATAGTCTCGTCCGGCGGATTCGCAACCACGCTCTTCACCAGCTCCACCAGCTCCTTCGCGCGCTCGCGCACCACATGCGACGTCGGCACACACACCTTCAGCAGCGTCTCCACATCCGTCGGCGCCTGCCTCGCAATGCCAAACAGCTGTCTCCTCGACAGCGTATAATGCGTACTCTCGTCCGCCGCGCGCGCCGCATTATCGCGCCACTGGTGCACGGCCTTGAACAGGGCCAGCTGCAGCGGGGTGAGGTTGTCGCGCGCGACCATGTTGAACCAGCCGGCCGCGCCGAGGCCCGTGGCGGCGTCGTAGGGCTCGCGCTCGTAGCGCTTTAGGGCGGTCTCGCGGGAGTCTTGGAGCACGCGCTGCAGCCGGTCCTCGGAGGGGTTGGAGGGGTCGGAGCGCGCGATGAGTTCGTTGCGTAGGTTGTCGAAGATGTAGAGGAGGAAATGGGTGTCGGAGCGGGCGTAGTCGAACATTTCTTTGGTGAGGGGTCTGTTGCGCCGTTTGTTAGCTCTCTTCCGATGCCGTAGTAGCAGTACAATCCCAAATAGCAAATAGATAGATAGATAGAAATAAAAGAAAGAAAGTAATACCTAATCCTCCAATCCGCCAACTGATACTGCTTATCCGCATCAAAGCCCACATACTTCTTCAACAGATACGCCAGCCCCAACCCCGGGAACCCCAGCGCCTTCGCCGCATAATGCGTATCAAACAGGCCCACCACATACACGCCAAAGTCGCGCTGCAGCCACCGCACATCCATGTACGCGCCATGCAGCACCTTCACAATCCGCCCATCCGCGAAAACGGCATTCAGCGCCTGCAGCTCCCCGCGCAGCGCAAGCGTGTCCACGATCCAGTCCTGGTCGCGGCTGCTGATCTGGATCAGGCACGTAAAGCCAATATACGAGCGCGTGTCATGGTGCTCCAAGTCGACCGCAATCTCGGTGCACTTCTCGAGCTGCGCGATCATGGCGGCGAGGGCGGCCGGCGTGGCGACCCATGTTGCGGTGGTGCTGTCGAACGGGTGGTAGGGGATCGGCGGGGCGGGCTCGTAAACGGCAGCGGGATAGTCGGTTGTCTCGATCTCGGTGCGGTAGGGGTGCACGTACTGGTCATTGCCGTGTTCGTTGCGCTCGAGGGAGATGCTGGCGGCGAGGGGGAGGGCGGCGTGCGGCTTGGTGGTGAGGAGGGGCTTGAAGGGGGGGGTGGCGAAGTTGTCGATGGGGTCGGGGAAGAGGAGTTGTGGCTTGGGGAGCTTGCGGGATTGCCAGGAGGTGGCGCGTTGCACGGGGGCGGCGTTGTGGGGGCGGTGGGGGGTGGTCTGGGGGTGTTAGTGGGGGGGGGGGGGGTTTCGGGGGTGCGGGCAGAGGGCAGAAGGACGGGGGACTTACGAGCTGTGCGCCGGGCAGAGGCGTGGGGTATTTCTGCTTAATTGCGCCGGTATACTCATCCAAACACGTATCCTACCTCTCCATCATCAGTACCATCCCTCACTCCCTCACTCACTTCCACCCTCACTCTCCTCCGGGGCATACATACCGCCTTCTCCAACAAATAATCCACCACCTCCACGACCTCGCCCCACCCATTCTCAACATCATCCACATCCCTCATCCTGCTCGGCGTCGCAATCTCACTCCCCCTCGCAGCGGCCCGCAGTAGCTGGTTGGCGAGCCCGAGGATTCGAGCACTGACCTCGTCGAGGCCCTCATTGAACGCCGGGTCGGACGAGCGCTGGAACGAGACGTCGGAGGCGGCGATGGCGCCCGCCGTCTTGGTGGTGGCCACGACGCGCGAGAAGAGCGTGTCCTGGAAGTGCGTGAAGGTGTCGGCGGTGGGGATGGGCGGCGGCATAGCGGCGGCGGCGGCGGCGTCGTCGTCGGTCGCCATTTTTTTCGGGTATGTGTGTGTGTGTGCTTTGTGAGTTGAGGTGTGGTTGACGGGGGAGATTTTTTGGTTTGGCATCATTGGAGGTGACAGGGGTTGGGGGCTTGGCGGTGGTAAGCACTAGCCACAGAGGGTATGGAGGGTGGGGCGTTGTCACATGTTTGTAGTTGTCGTTGTCATGGTGGTCGCGTGGAGTGTGGTGGGTGTGGTGGGTGTGGTGGGTGTGGTGGTGCATGGGTTGTCACTCGGCCTTGTTTCTGGCTGTCTGCTCTTTGGCTGTGGCGTGGGGGAGGGGAGCGAGGGTGGGCAGGGCGGTTCGAGAGACATTCTAGAAACAGTGGTTCGATGCTGGAGAAACAGACGTTATCTCTTCAGCGGCCAGCCAGAGCCAGTAGTGAAAAAACCACCGTGACCCGTGTCGCAGATCTAGAGACACCCAACACTCATCCATGGCCATCCATCCATCCGTCCATCCTTTCAGCTCTCAGCTTGACCTTCATCCTCACCATCACCTCCACCAATAACGCTCCTCCCTTCACCTCTCTCCCTCTCTCCATCAACGTCCAGAAAAGGAACGTACAAGCTTCCCACCTAACCCACCTACCCACGTGTCGCACAGATCGCCTTTCGCACGAACCCCCCCTCTATCCATTTCGCCCCTAATTTCGGGGCACAACGATACGTCATCCCCATGTGAGATTGCGACGGCCGCAATTTCCAATAAGCTTTTTTTTTTGGGAGTGTTAAATCTCCGGAGGGGGGTTTAATCTATTTTAGCAGCAGCAGTGGTGATGTAGTGACTATGACTGTGACTGTGACAGTAATTAGGACTGGTACATGAATGTACCCCCCCCCCCCCCCCGCGGGGGGGACCTACTCTACTACTACTACATAGAGTACATGTACTTGTATCCAGCTTGGGACGTTGGTAGTTGGGGAGCAGAGCCCACGTGTGCGGTTCCACGGGCGATTAGGTTTCTGGGACACGTTACACGCCCTCTTGACTCCCCCTCCTCTTGTGGGTAGCCGAAACGAAACAAACAAAATAGATAGTGCCTAATCTACCGCCCTCCCCTCCCTTCTCCCAGCTAATATGTATATAGCCAACTACGCATCCGGCCTACGTACTGGCGGAACACAGAAACGGGCGCCGATTAACTTTCCGACTCGTCCCCTGTCTGAAACGCCGGCTGGCCGTACGTGGGTATCACAGCCATGGGACGAGAGCTGCTTCTTGTGGCCGGCCGGCTGGTTTATATATATATATAGTTTATAAGTACATATATATAGCAGAGGAGAGGATGGTGTGCCGGCCGGCCGGGCTGCGGCAGAAATTTGGAAGCACGCAGAATTAAAGAATTTCAAAGCTATCGTCCCATCTCACAAAGCAACCCGAGACTGCTACGTCGTACTGTACTACTACTACCGGGCAGGCGGGTTTCTGAAACTGTGGGACGGCCGTTTTCGCTCGGTTCTACATATATGGGCGATGTAATGCAGCTACGGGTTAGGGCACTCAAGGTACATGCAGAGGAGGTAGCGCAGGTACGAGTTGGGGTGCTTATGGATGGTAACGCAGGTACGGGACGTTGGGGTTAGAATAGGAACAAGTGCAGGTACAACTTAGGGTGCCTATGGTGGGTGCTTAGGTGCTTATGGCAGCGCGCATCAGCTGACATGGCATGACGTGACAGCGGGGGGAGGGGAAGTGCAAGTGAAAGTGTCGAAAGTGTAAGTGTAGAAGTAAGGTGTGACGTTGTTACCCGTGGTGCATATTTTCTACGGGCTGAAAGGTGGGTTTTTTGTAGCGGTAGTTAGTAATATTGGCAGTATTAGTCGGTGGTGAGAAATGATCGGTAGTAAGAAACGGTCGGCGTGAGAAGTGAGAAGTGAGAAGTGAGCGAGGGCCAAGATAGAGGCCAGGTACCAGATAGGAAACTGGTACAAGCCACACAGGAAACCGTTACAAGATCCAACCGGTCCCAACACAATTAGAGACACACAGCTCCACACAGATCCGGCACTACATCTAAGTACATACATGTAGTTTATACTTCACGACGCAAGGGACGCACCGAAACGTCCAAAACTTGGCCATCTATGCGTTACAAGTACCACTACATACATAGCTACAAGTAGCTTTAGTAGAACACCGATATGATTATGGTTTATTTAATGTACTAGCGATAAGGTTTCTACATATACCCCCGATCTGAGACTGTCGCATATTAAGCTGCTCTGGGGGGTACGAGTGGGTCTTGACCTGTTTTATTGGTGCGAAGTATGGCTAGGTCGAGACTGTAGGACGCGACCGTTTGCCCAAAATACCAGGGGCATATATACACAGGCAGTTTGGAAATTGCTCATTAGACCTTAGAGCGACGTTTCGAAAGTGCCCTACCACGTTGGCCTCTACACCTACATACGCGGACTTGTACTGACGGTCGAGTGAGATCTCATGATCCACACACCAACGCCGCCGCGCTCGAAATAGTAGCACCATCGTGATGGCTTCGACTACACCGAATAAGCGCTGAAAAGGGGGGGGGGGGTGAAGGGATTCAGGGAGGCGGTTTTCTTTTCTTTAAAAAAGAAAACGACAGCCTACTCACGAGCACCCACACAGGGCCAAAAAGGCGACCGAGTGACACCCCATGATCCGAACCGCTTCGTACGAAAACTTGTTCTGGGCCCTCGGTATGCACCCAGAGCCCAAAACGAGCCGACGCAAAAAGCCCCCTCCTCTTCGCAAGAAGAGGAGAGGGCTATGCGGAGAGAGGGGGGGGCAGACAGAGGGGAGACCAAACGTAAAATAGCCCCCTCCCCTTCTTTCGAAGAGGAGAGGGCTATTCGGAGAGAGGGGGGGCAGACAGAGAGGAGACCAAACGTAAAATAGCCCCCTCCCCTTCTTTCGAAGAGGAGAGGGCACGCCGAACCAACGCAAAATAGCCCCCTCCCCCGTTTGGGGGAGGGGGCAAACGTCCTAACGCAAAATAGCCCCCTCCCCCAAACGGGGGAGAGGGCAAACGTCCTAACGCAAAATAGCCCCCTCCCCCAAACGGGGGAGAGGGCAAACGTCCTAACGTAAAAAATGCCCCCTCCCCTTCTTGCGAAGGAGAGGAGGCCGAAAATGCGTCTTTCTGTCCGTTCTGAACCCTCGGTGAGGAGGGTCCAGAACGGACAGAAAGAAAAAAGAAACCCTCCCCTCTCGGACCCTACTATGGGCCCGAGAGCGGAGGAGGAAGAATGAATATCCCCCTCCCTTTTCAGACCCTATTATGGGCCTGAGGGGGAGGGGGGGGGGATCTCTACATCCTCCCCTTAGGCCCTACTACGGGCCCAGGGGAGGAGGGAAAAATAGTAACTCCCCCTCCTGTGGGAGGGGGAGCGCAAAAGAATAATTCCCCCCCCCCATAAGAGAGTTGGGGGGGGGGGGGGACACTGACTGACCCCCCTCATGACAAGAGGGGGGGGGAGAAGAATAACACCCCCTCCTCATGAGAGGAGGGGGGAGAAGAATAAGAACCCCTCCTCATTAGAGGAGGGGGGGGAAGAGTAACCCCCCTCCTCATTAGAGGAGGGGGGGAAGAGTAACCCCCCTCCTCATTGGAGGAAGAGGGGGGGGGGGGAGGAATAATAACCCCCCTTCCTCATGAGAGGGGGGGGGCGCAATAGATACTGCACCCCCTCCTACCAGAAGAGGGGGGCTTGATGAGTTGTGGAGAGAGGTGGTAGAACGAAATTATTTATAGAGTTGGGTGTTCTTTCGCCGCTCCCGCCAGCTTTCCTTGGCGCGCTCGGTTATACCGCCGCCGCCGATTACCCAATCGGGATATAACGCGCTAGACTTGACCTTTAGGTACTAAAAGTCTGAAATGCCTGGTGTCATGACCTTGATACCGCGTGGTAGGGAAAGACAATAACGGTGCGGGGAAAAAAAAAAGTGATATCATAAATGGAATGTTTCGGAAAATTCCGATGAATGTCTGGGGCCTCTGGATTACTACATTTATGCAGGTGCAAGTGTTGTATCATGATAGGGCACATGTAGGTACCAGTACAGTTCTGCCTTGCAGTTGTACATGTGGATGCGGAGATCTAGATGCTCGGTCTGGACGGGTTCCGGTACGGTACGGAGTCTACGGCACGGAGTTGGGAGGCGGTGTTAGGGATCTAGATCTTCTCGATATAACTAGATGTACATGTACTTACTACTGATCTACTCCCCACCCGCGTACGATGTTGTTGTTATTATTGCTGGAGTGGCCATGGGGTAATATATCGGTTTGCATAAGCCAGGCACTTACATATAGGCGGCATCACGCTCGTAAAGCACATGTACACCTCAGGAGAATAGACAAGGAGTTGCAGCTGGTGTGGTTCCCGCTTACAGGAGAGATATTTTCTGTTTTCCTCGTTCTTGTGGAATATTTTCTGGTCGTTTCGGTCATTTCCTTTGCCGTCATGAAAGATCACTCGGCTTGCTTAACCCAGACACAGAGAGGATTTTATATTGCAGTAGCGTGGAGATAGTTGTTAATAAAGGTTAGACCCTTGTATGGTGACTTTGTTATTGTCCCAATATGGGGCTAAAGGTTGGTTGTACTCTAGAGAACTACTGTTAGTTGGACAGCGGACCTCGATCTGCGATGTTTTTGTATGCAGGAGCTTTTCCCTACCAAGCTCCCCTTCGTATATTGCTAGAGAGTCTAGGGTCTATCAGCATGTGATCACTTTCAGCAAAGCGTGTGACAATGGTACAAGGCTGGGATTTGTGGGTGGGGGCGGTGATAAATTGGATCAGTTGCAATTGAGAGGGCCTGCTGCTGCGGGCAACCGGGAAAGGAATGATCGATATCATCGCTGGCTATCGTAGAGCTGTAGAGAGAGAGAGAACGATGTAGATATATGGGTTTTGTGGCGGTCGTGGACTTGATGTATTGTTGTGAATGGGATCTGAGGACGAGACTGGATGAAAGGGTAATGCGAGTCATAGAAAATCACCCAGATCTCGGTTATAGGTAGGATTCTCCACGGATTGATTGATTGATTGAGAGTTCATTTATGATGCTCCGCAGATCCGTCGAATACGCATATGGGGAAGAAAGAGTGAGAGAAGTGACTGTTGACTACCCTTCACTAGTGCTTCATATTTATAGCTTTTGTTCTATGTCCCAACAAGTACATCTACAAAGTACAAATCCCATATATACACCAGCATACCCGTACATGCCACCATCCCCCAAAAGCGGAGTTCTAAAATAAGAAAAACCTGCAGATACATCTTCATAAAAATACACCGCTCAACTAGAATCGATCATTTTCCTTGCCAGAAATCTTATTACACAACCGCACAGTGCCCCAATCCTCCAGCTGCACAGCCCGTGTATACAGCGTCTTCAGATGCTCCTCCTTCCACTCAAACCGCTCTAGGTTCTCTTCGAGTCTTTCGACCGCTTCGCCTAGGTATTCACAGGCGGCCAGGATATCAATCATTATGCACTCAACGTAGAAATCGTGCTTGCGTTGTTCCTCTGGGAATATGCTTTGGTAGGATATTGTTCGTTTGTATCGTTCTCGGTCGGCCATGACTCGACGAGCAAATGCCAAATCACGGTCTTTGTAGGCCGCTTGTAAAGTTGTGGAGAAGGTATAGATATTGCGGGGAGGGAGAGGGTATCGAGGAGGTTGTGGCGGGGGTGGTGGTGGGTTTCCATACTTGTATGTGGATTGGTAACCGTTCCGTGGAGGTGGGGGAGGTGGGGGTGGGCGTTGTGGCGCTTCGTCCTCTTCTTCTTCTTCAGCGGTTTCGTCGCTGATGGTTTCTTCATTCTCTACCGGAGCCTTTCCAGAATGCGCCGACGATTCCTCTTCTGCCATGCCGGGCTCATTGGAAAAGTAACGTGAATAACATTTCTTTACTTCCCTGAAGCCAGGGCGACTGCCAATGTTTTGGCAAGCTTCAAGGTAGGCATTGAGGAGCTGAGAGCTGATAAACTCAGGTCTGTTCTCTCTAATCCAACTGAACACCTGTCGAACCTCTGACATGACTTCCTTATGGGTTAAAAGTACGCTCTTTTCTAAGAACGGTACCTTTTCTTCGTACTGTCCTTCCTGCCTTTTCTCCAGTCTTCCAGACCCTGTCACAATAAATGTAGCTTCCTCCTCCTTTTTCTCACTGTCCTTTTCGGCAGTGACTCTTCCCCCAACAAGAATACCCTTCACGCCACGGCTTTTGCTCTCACCCGGTGCTTTGTATGTTGCGTATGCACGAAGTAGATTCTGGAATGAGATTTCGTCCGGAACCAGATCTTCGCCGGTACGTGCAGATCTCATCATATGTCGGACAAGAAGCCTTGCTCTCGTGAGTTCTCCTGTCCGCCCGCACGCCTGTAGCAATGTGTTCAGGTAAAGCCGGTTCACCTTTAGCCCTCGAGCCTGCATCTCTGTCGCAAACCGCCAAGCTTGAGTGAAATAGTCCTTTCTCAATGCACATGCATGTATGAGTGCATGGTACGTCTCATGCGTTGGTTCTAGCCCTCTTCGGGTCGTCATATCAGTATATAAATCCAACGCGCGCTCAACTTCACCGTTGATGGCGCAGGCGTGTATCATGAGGGTATAGGTCTCTGCATCCGGCGCGGTGGAGGCTGATTTGAGCTTTATAAGATTGAAGATTTGCCAGGCTGCTTCGAGCTGGTTTCGGTTTATGCAAGTTTGGATTAGGGTGGTATAGACAACGAGGTTGGGTATAATTCCGAGAGCATGCATTTCTTGGATTGCGTTGGTTGCTGCTTCAACATCGGATTGTTGGGAGTGGGCTTTTAGAAGATGGCCATATGAGTACACGGTTGGCGTGAGGCCTCCTATTCCGAAATGTCAGTAACTATTTGGGTGGTGTCGACGTAAGGGTTCTTACGCTCTTTCATATTTTCAAATAGTGTCTTAACCTCTGTTGGGTTCCCTACCGCTGCATGCGCCAACATCATGAGATCAAAGGTCAAGGTATTAGGCTGCACATCAGAGCTCTCCATCATCGCCAGTAACTTTGACGACAGTGCCGCCCTCTGGTCCATATTAACCAACGAAACCATTTTATTCACTTCCGAGGTATTCATATTATCCAGGCCCCCATTTAACTCAATCTCTGCCAGCATTGTGTCCCAATTCAGCTCCTGTCTCCCTTGCATCACCATCAACTTTGTTGCGACTTCAATTCGCGCTAGTACGGGTGCTGGAAGGTAATCTAACGGCGTTTCAGGCTCCGGAAGGAAGTTCGCTGCAACCTGGGGAGGTGCCATAAGGGCTTGGTAGGCACGGTCCGTAACATCATCGGTGATCTTAACATCTGGTAACTCCTATACACGAATAGTCAGTACCTCAATTGCAGAACGGAGGCGCCCAACAAGAGAGCTAACAACGAACCTGCTGAGCATCATACTGCTTAACCCGATCTGCGTAGGTCTTTTCAATGTGCTGAACGTGCGCCTCAAGCCTCTTGATAGCGCCCAAAAAGGTGTCCGACTTGGTCCCTCGCCCCTTCTTCACCGGCCTCCCAGGGGAGTGCTTCGATGCAGAGTGTGCTGTCCGAAACTGGCAAGATATGCATACAAAGTTACTGCTTGGGAGTTCTTTATGTAATGTATGAGGCCGGGGGTGCGCTACCGTAAGAAGAGAGCGGCGGGTGGCATTGAAGCCATTTCTGAACATTGGGAGATTGTTATCAGGACAGGCTCGGTATCTTGCTCGGCGCACAAGAGGCGAAATTGTGGGGTTGGAATCCAATATATGTCGTGTGGTGTTGTTGCCATTCAAGAATATTCGGCTCTTTTTTTTCATCCCACTTTTGCGGCTCTGAAACGGCAATGGCACGTGATATAGGGATGGCTTAGGGTTAGGGCTAAATAATTGGGAATAGAGGTGGTCTCGAATTTTGTTACCGAACCAATAGAATCCAGACATCCGGAGTCCTCGAGTGATTATCTATGACTACTCTTGATGGTGGGGCCGCGCTGACTCATTATAGAAAAGCGAAGGTTGAGTATTCATTCATATGTACCAAACTCTCAAACCCATACAAATTCCCCAGGCCCTATCCTTCCCTCACATGCCAGCCTAGTTAAAGACCTCTAGCTATGTGTAGACATTTTGCGTAATTACATGACCTAATCCTCCCGGGTCCTATTATCAACGTCGTATGATGCCATCCTTCATCCAGGTATATAGGCTTACTAACATAGCCCTTCCTCGCCCCTCACTCGCAAACTAGACAATAAGGAAATAAATGTTGGCAAAGTATGTGAATGAACATAAAACGATGCTCCGCGAGTGGTATATAACGCACACGAAACGTAAAAAGTAAGATGCACGATAGCAGCGACGAATTATATATTACATGTAGTACCTATTCGGTGGTGTCAGCTTCCGGGGTGTTCAAGGTTTAGAAGAGTCAACGAGCACTTACCGTGGCTCGTCATCCAACACATGATAAGCATGACCTCGGACACCCTCGCCCTTAAACATGGCTGGGAATCTGAACTGTGGCTGAATATCCGACTCAGGGACAATCGTGTCACCACCCTCGGACATGCCAACAATAAATTTACCCAACTAAAGAGATTATTGTCAGCTCTGTAATGTTGGGAAAATAAAGTTGAGGACAAAGACGTACCTGGATCTCGGTATCTGTGATGGTACTTCGAGATACCCTTGCATACCCGATCCTTCTTAGACCTCTATAAAGGATATATTCACACCATCGATCCCAGTCACTAGGATCAATATCTCTCATCCTGCTCTTCTCGCTAACATAGGTATTATAGTTCCCCTCTTTAGGCTCAGTCACGAGGTAACTCAACAGAATGAGTGGTCTCGGGCTATCTCCCATTAACTTTGCGATGCCCTCAGACTGAAGTCTTCTGTCTTCAACGTCTTCTTCCTGTCCACTGTGGAAAACTAGGACATCGACCATTTCACCATACATATCCAGCGTTGCCAAAATGGCGGGCGCAAGCTCTCCCACCGGCGAAGGAAGAAGATGATGTGTTGAGTTGACGATAGGAAACTTAGATAGCAATGCAGCACCCCATGTGTGCTTATTCGGTCCAGGCCCAAAATCCGCGTACATTCCCAAATCCTCAGCGAGGAACTGAGTCATGTCGCGGTTGCCCATGATGATACGTTGAAGATCCGACTCGAGTAGTCCAATAACATCAACTTCCAACTCCTTGATAACATCCCTCATACGCCTCTCGCTACTCCACATATCATTATCCAATGCAAAGTGCACAGTCCAGATGCCGGCAGTGACAACCTTTGCATCTTTGTTGTACGGTTCGTAGTTGAACGACGGGAAACGAATGTAGGCAACAGATACAGAAAACAACTCCAGCACAATTAAAGAGTAGACTGAGTATGTTTTGAAACGACTCCTCACAGGAGACTCATGCACCTTTGATTTGGAAACCTTTGAGCGGTAGCTCGTGGTTGCAAATACGCCGGCACCGATCATAAGCATCATTCCGGCCATGACCAAGTCTGTTCTCTCACGGAGCAACGGACCGCCGGGAACGAATGCATAAGCGACGACCCAAACGTGCGCCAGGACAATAATATTGTAGCACATAAACGCAGAACCGAAAGTCTTTCCAGGGCTGTGTCTGGCCGCCGATTGAATGAATGTGGGGATGAGTGCCATAAGATATGTGGCCAGAACAAGGGCTCCATAGTATCCAAACCACCCAGGATTTCCATAGAAAATTGCTGCTGAAGTGCATGCAACACCATAAAGAGCCCAGGTCTGCGCCACATCGCTTCTGTACAGCCCAATCAGGAATCCCACGCCCATGGCTAGAATAGTCCACGCTCCATGTGGAACTGCAAGAGGCCCTTTAACTGGATATCCATCCCAAACCCATAGGATCATGGTACTAGAATCAGAGAGCAGCGAATGAAGACCAAAAAGCAAGCCTCCCAGCCCAATGATTGCAAAAATTGAAGATTCGTTCTTCACTCCTGGCGCTGGTAATGGAAGTTCTCCATACGTAGAGGAAGTCCTTCGTGTCGAGCGAAGGATTGCCAAGACGGCTAGAATAAGACCAGTTTTGTTCCATCCACCATTCTCTGCGTTCATAATGGGCCAGATAGGGTTGTTGCTATGGTTAGCAAATTTTGCGATGCTGGACGCGATCAGCCCGAGAGAAAAGGCAGTGATTTTTGCTTCGAACCTGGCCGGGTTTGATCTTTCAGCGTAAAAACTGCCGGACCAGGCAAGGCAAGTGAAGACAACGCCTGCGGCAACAGCAAACAGACGGACCTCAGGCATCGTAACTGTAAAAGCGAGAAGTCCTGAGAGCGAAAGCAAATATGCAACGCGGGGATTGTTCACTGCTGCTTGATGGATGGGACGGAAGCCAAGCAAAAATGGAGAAACCGTAGTCAACACCAGCACTTCGTAACCGGAAATTCCCATGTGCCATAGCGGAAAGACTGTATGAGTATGTCAGGATATTTTTGTGTTCTCTTGAACGGAACTGCCATTCACTTACACCATATGGTTACACCGAGAGAGGTTAGGATTGACCAAAACATGAACTATCACCCGCATATGTCAGTTTCATTTTTTTTTCTTTTTCCTAGAATCAGCAAACCAATAAGAATGACTTACGCCACTATAAATATCTGCGGCAATATCAATCATGTGATCCCATGAAAAGTTCTCTCCTAACAACTGCTGCGAAATTCGCATCCTATCGTCCCTTCATGTCGTGAGATTATAGTTGATGTAGCACATGGGGACAGGGATCATACTTCGCCTTTTCCAGCAGGGTATCTGACAGCATAACGCCGTTTCTATAACAAAAACGAGATTTAGAACCAGTTGCGTTTTTTGATATCATTGGATCGCAATAAATCTATAAATTATCTACACTGGGAGCCAGCCAACGTACCCTTTGCCATTCCTCCTTGTATCAACAATCTGCAATTCAAGTCCTGTAAAGTCTAGGGCCGTGACTGCATCAAACCCAACATCGAACAGGATCAAGGACCACTCAAAGAAAGCGTATTTAGTATAAGCTGCGCTTCAATCAGTTCCAATGTCCATCTCAGATACCATCATGTATATATTTTTATAATAAAAGCTTACCTCCAGCTACTTTATGGACTTTATGCTGAATAAAGAAATAGATCAATGGAACGAGTGTTCCAAAGAACAGTCCTGCTAGCATTTTCCTGTACTTGATAGCCTGTTGGTTCATGGGGGACAGCATAAGGCATCCGATTGTCCATGGAAGGGTGAGCACAAGATACGAGATCATGAAAATGTCATGCCAATCATGGTCGTCCGTGGAAGTGATGTAGACCCAACCACCACACAGGAATGTACGCATTAGACCAATGCAACCGACAAACTTCGGTGCAAAGCGGCCAGGTCGCGCGGTAAGAATGTACCACATAAATACTAGAGCAAAGCGAGGACCAGAAGTGACTGCAATAAATAATTGGAAGATGGAGCGCTCAGGATAACGATCACCAATTGTGGCAGATACCGAAGGGAACCATTCATCTGGATAACCCTGCAATCACGTGGGTTAGTATGCTTACAATCCTCTGAAAGCAATATATCGTTGCTTTTACTCACATAGTGCTCGTTTTGGACGATTTTGTGGAAATGCAGCCACCTACGCAATTCTCAGCCTCCCGTGGTGTAATCATTATTACATGTATCTTTAACGACATGTCGACAACCCACTTACATTCCTACGATCAACGCGCTAAAGAAAGCACCTGGAATAATCTATTAGCATTTGACCTTAGTATATGAAGATAGAAATGGCGACGAACAGTACGCGACAGTAGTATGAGCCCATGACACCCATTTCCCTGACAGCTATAGAATCCGTGTGGTCAGTATCCCCGAGCGCACAGCAAAGCACATACGCAATCGCAGTGCACAGGCGCACTTACAGAAGCAATAACCGTCCCGTCTTTGTCTTTGGGCATTGTTAAACTACTGTCGAGTGGTGGATAACAGTCAAAATAGTAAAGAAAGAGCTCCTCAGTCGGGCGACGTGCACGATCAGCAACGAGAGAAAGAGCACAAGAAGAAACAGAGTTTAAGAGCCCCCTGGGGACAAGTGCATTCTACCGTCACCGCGGCCATCCGTTGGAACTTGGCCTCTACGGAACGGAAAGGAATTCCCGAGTTTGTAATCTTGGCTATAAATATGGGTTAGGGTTGATTGATGCAGTAATCGGATTTAATTGCAAGACCAAGAGTAAAAAACCTCGTGAGCACCGAGGTTTCAAAATGCCAATCAGTTGTTCCTTTCTGCCTTGTGGGTCTGGTGTGGCTATTAGAAAGAAGTGGTGTCAGTTCTGTGGCTGGTGAGCTCGTAACGCAAAGGGCATACCCCTGCGGAACTTCTTTTCGCCTGCTTCGAGTAACCATCATCCGTCTCGTTCCCTTTCCACCAACCACCTCTTTCTCTTTCTCTTCCCTCCATCAACAACCCACCTACTTACAATCAAACCCATCCCTCCAGCCACAACTACAGCCCCCACAGTTGTTACTATCACCAGTGCTAGGTATCAATAGCCCAACTACAGCTCTTAGTTTTCTCTCGTTCATAGAAAGAATCGCTCGCTTCTTCCCCTCCCCCTCCCCCGCCGCTCCTGCCCAATCCCAAACTTCACCGTTCCATGCAAATAATTGCTCGTTATGTCTGAAAACCAGTCGTCTCCACCTGCTCCAGACCCTTCTGCCATTTCTCCCAACTATCTCCAAGACACTTACACGGTCGACGAGAGTATTGAAAAGAGAGAAATGCTGTCTCCAGTTTCCCCCCGACCGGTTCATGTAGCTGAACCAGATGACAACCTAGTGTTGAGGAACCAGATGGATCCTGTTTTTAATTCCACTGATACCCACACGAACCCACACCAGCCCATTCCGGATTTCAATAGTCTCGGGTTTGGTGGGAGCCATCCTCACACCTTAGGTTCCTCCACCTCTTGGATTGAGCAGCAGCAATCACACTCACAACAGCAGCAAAACATGCCGATGTCATCCACTTCTGCCACAGATAATACAAATGGTAGTATCCCATCTTCATTACCTTCGTCATCATCATCTTTAGCCGCGGATCCCATCCTCAGGAACGCACTCCCATCTGCCATCAACTTTGGGAACGGTAATGTACCTGATGCTATTAATGGAACGAATGGAGTCATGATGAACAAGGATTCCTCTTCTCTTGCTGCTGCCGACTCTACATCGGCCACTTCTCCAAGAACCCATGTTTATTCTCTACCAAACAATCTGACAAACAATGTCGACCTCCAAGCTCTTTTGACAAAGCTCTCCCCGAGCATGACACAACAAACAGTATCTCCGCAGAGTTCACAAGTTACATCTGCTACCGTTCCTGCTGCTGCTACTGTAACTGCTCCTGCTCCTGCTCCTGCCCATGTCTCGTCTCCTTCCCAGGCTCGAGTCCCATCTCTTCCAAAGCCTCCTGCGCAGGCTCAAGTGCCAAACCAACCCCCAGCCCAAAATCATCAGACCACGCATCCATTGCCGCAACCACCGGCTACGTCTGCTGTGAATGGTACTTCAGGACATTCTAGTCATCCTGCAGGATATCCTGCATCACTTCCCCCCCCGCCTAATTTCAACCAGCACCGGCAACAAGTTCCGGACTCTCCAACCGGTACTGAAGAAAATGAGGAAGATAATCGTCCATTTACCGCTGAAGAAGAGGAAGCGTACGATAGATTTCTGTCCGATGAGCGTGATTACGTGACTCAAGGCCAGTGGGACAGGTTTCCTGCGGGTTCACGACTCTTTATTGGTGCGCACCCTGAATTTATGCACATGCTGCTGCACCCTGCCACTTCTATAAACTCAACTTCCCATATACTTACTTTGACTTCATAGGTAACTTGCCAACTGAAAAGGTCACCAAACGTGATTTGTTTCGTACATTCCACAAGCATGGACGCTTAGCCCAGGTTTCAATTAAGCAAGCATATGGGTTTGTTCAATTCTTGGATACCGCATCATGCGCGTCTGCCCTCCGCTTTGAACAAGGAGCATCTGTGAGAGGACGTAAAATGCGTACGCTGCCCCATGTTTTCCAACCGCACCCCCGTGAGATAAGAAACAAAACATAACACTGATTCTTGTCGTGACTGCAGACCTTGAAGTTTCCAAGCCCCAAAGAAACACTAGACCACCTCCGTCAGATTCGAACCCGCCACGTGGGGCCAATCGTCGTTCCCGTTCTCCTGATTATGGTCGATCCATGTCTCCTCGTGGCCGTGGTGGTTCTACCTTCCGTGGCGGCAGAAACAGTGGTGATTTCACGGACCGTGGATTCACCCGTGGTGGTAGAGACACCCGTGACCATGAATATCCTGCACGGAGATCATCACCTCCACCAAGATATAGGGCCCGCGATGATTACCGCCCGCAGCATCATCGGGACCGCACTCGTTCCCCGCCGGGTAGATACCGCCAGCGCACCCGCTCTCCCCCGGTTGTTGAAGAGTTGCCACGAAGAGATCCCAAAGAGGTACCAGAGGTTCAAGCTCTAGTCATGGATGAAGTCGATAGGTTAGTAAAATAATCCGATCTGGACGCGTTGAGTTTACTAATCATTTCTGAAGGAATTTTATTTGGTGGATCGAAAAGTCTTTCAGAGATCGCGGTCTCAGCTTTGATTCCGTGTTCTTGAACCCACGCATACCCCTCGAGCCATTGGTAAAGCAACAAATTCTCGAGGGGGTGCAGGCTATAGTCTTCCTGAGCCGGCAGATGCAGGGAAGCAGCAAAATCTCGATACAGGTGTTTGATCGCCGCGGGGACGGAGAAGCTACTTATGATCGTGAGTATCTCTCATTCCTTTTTTGATATATGGACGGGTACCTAATATACTTTACAGAGTACGATGATCTCGACCCAAGCATTGCTGCTGAGATAGTATATCGAGCGAAGTTAGCTCATGCACCCCAACCCCCTATGCAAGTGCCGACTTATGGTGGATATGGCATCCCGCAACAGCAGCAGCAGCAGCAAACCCAACAGCCCCAGCAGCAACCCATCTTGCAGCAAGCTGCTATTCCTAACCTTGCAAATGTTCTTGGAGCTCTTGACCCTGCAACTCTGAAAACCTTGCTCGCAAATCTTCAGCAGCAGCAGCAGCCGCAGCAACCACAGCAGCCGCAGCCGCAGCAGATGCAGCAGCAGATGCATCAACAGCATCAGCAACACCATCAGCAGCAGCAGCACATGCTTCAAGCGCAACAGCCTCAACTCGGGCAAGACCTTGCAGCGCTCTTGTCTCTGCCCCTGCAGCAGCAGCAGCAGCAGCCACAGAGCCATAGCCTTAACAATAACAGTAATCCTTACGGTGTCCAACCAAATCCAGGCTACGGACCGAACGCCGGGCTGGCAGCTCTACTAGGTCAGGTCCAGCAAGGTAATGTTCAGGTTCCTCAACAGGGACAATCCCCCGCTCAAATGCAGGCCATTATGGATGAACTTGTTAGGTGGCAGCCAAACAAGCCTCAGAATTAAAATCTTTCTATACTTGTTAGTGGATCAAAAATCAAAAGCAACTTCCGGTTTTCTTGTGTGATAAAAACTTGCAGTTAAGGGGTGGGGGACCAAAATAACGGAGTTTTTTTCTGATATTATTTCTTTTCTTTTTAACGAGATCAACGAGTCTACCTGCATTAACATCATTTTTACTTACTTTTCTCTCTCTGTCTTTTTTCTCTCTTATTATTTGGGATCATTCTGTCTGTTTAATTATCTTTTACCCCACGCATCTACAGTTCGTAATGCGAGATGGCCTTAGCTTTCCTCCTCACTTCTTGTGTACAAGTTTATCCATTTTTGCAAAAAAGTTATTTTAAATTGTATATACACTTCCACGCACGGCATGAACTCAACTGCTGCTTCTTCTACTGCTGCATTCTTACATAGGTCTTCCTTTTTCTTTCCTATTTTTTGTGGAGTTTTGGGAGTGGATTAGTAACCTCTATATTCGTTTCTATGCTCATCATTTCCTGCTTTGTCGTTGCCCCCCCCCCCCCCCCCCCCCCCTTTTTTTTTATCTACCCCCGCCTCTTCTCTATCCATCCCCCTTCACCCCTCCCCCATATCTTTACTCAGAGACGATCTATGGGTTATAAACCCTTCTCTTACCCGCTTCCACGGCCGCGGATGACGGTTCTGCAGGAGGTAGCCACTTTGATGGCCTTTATTGTTCATAGCATCTAGTTAGTCACACTCTATATTTTTAATAACAGGGAGAAATAAATAAAAAATTTGGCAAAAAAAATTGAAAAACTTTTCATTCGCGGCAATGATCGAACTGCATGTTTTTTTCTTTGGGGCGAGGTGGGGGAGTGATACCTTGTGAGCCACAACGCCGGCGTGATCCCACCGGCCCTCTCTTTTGCGGCAAACCAATGCTTCAGCTCCTCGCGCAGGACTCGGTCTGATTTATCGACCACATCTCTATACCATTTGTTAGCTCTAGGCAGCCAAGAACAAGCTAAACGGGAAACTCACAGCCCACGCTCAACCGCAGCCATCCTCAACTCCTCGCCTCCATCGAGCGCATCCACGCCGCCACCACGCTCCAGCAGCGTATCATCAATCTCGAGATACTCAACCCTCCTCCTAACCCTCAACCTCACCCACGCCGTCGGCGGCAGCCCCAGCGCGCCGGGCCACTTCGTCGACGTGATCCCCAGCACATTACTCACATGGAGCAGCTCACTCCTGCCCAACGCATACACATCCCTCATCTCCACGCCCTCCGGCGCCGCAAAGGTGCGAAACGCCTCCTCGCGGCGCTTCTCGAGCTTGACGCGGTCGCCATGGAGCTGGCTCGGGATGCGGCAGTTCCAGGGCACGACGGACGAGATGAAGGGCAGGATGAGCGGCGAGAACTCGCCAAAGATGAGGAACACGACGGCGAAGACGGGGATGCGCCGCGTGTCGTGGCGCGAGCGCATGATGTGCTGGAACTCGGAGCGGGTGATGGCGTTGTGGGCGACGAGCGGCGTGATGCGGCCGGAGCCGAGCTTGTCGATGCGGGTTTGGAGCGGGCGGGTGCTGATGAAGTTGTGGTAGACGTTTTTGAGACCGGTTTTGTAGAAGGAGAGCTAGGGGAGTTGTTAGTGGGGCTTGAGGGAGGTGGTGAGAGGGGGGGGGGGGGGCAAGTACGTAGGCTTTGCCGGTCTTGAGGAGGTAGGAGAAGGTTGAGGCGTCGCGGTCCTTTGTAGGGAGTTCGAGAGGCGCGGGGAGAGTGGAGAGGGGCGCATTGACGCTTGAGCTGGTGGGTTGGAGGGCGGACTGGGTCTGTGTCGAGCTGAAGCGCAGGTTTAGAGTCTGTATTAGGAGTGGTCGTAGGTCGTGGGTGTTTGCTTGTGCTGAGCGCGGGAGTGCGAGTGCTCTGTGAGCATAGCTGGTGCGCACTAGCGCATTTGCAGGCGTAGAAAAGCGGCGGCAGGCCTGCATCGCGATATATATATATATATCCTCTGTCGATGTTCTGTAGTTTCTCTTTAGTGAATTGAGCTGGTTTGTGGCGGTCTGGTTTGGTTGTTTCTTTTTTTTTTCTTCCTTGCTTCTCAAGGTGTGTCGAAAAGTGCGTGGGGGGAAAGTTCCCGAGATGCGTTGCAGGGAAGAGATTGTGAGGCCTTGGCAATGATGACAACCCCACGTTTTCGGTGGTGGGGGAGGGAGGTTGCGGGCTAAGAAGAGACGAGAAAGAAGCTCTCTCAGACACCTGACAAAAATCATTACCGCCAGTCACTCCTTCCAACCCCCCCCCCCCCCCCCCCCCGCCCACCACCAATCTGATACCACTACTACTACAATGGCGGAATCAAGGTATCCATCCCCACCCCCCACCATCTCCGCACACGCAAAAAAAAACCGAATACTAACCCCCCACCCCTTCACCCCCCCCGCAGCAGCAGCAGCAGCCAGGAGATCTCGAACCCGCGCGGCATCCCCACCGCCCCCTTCGTCGAAGACGTCGAGGCCTTCGTCGACTCCCGCGCCGACATCGAGCCGAACCTGAAGAAGTTCCAGGAGATGATCGCGTTTGTTTTCTCCCTCCCTTCATTCGGCCTCCTCCTCCTCGTCTACCCACGGCTGACGGTTGGTGGTGGTGGTGGTGTGTGTGTGTGTGGGCAGGAAGTACCAGTTCATGGAGATGAACACGCAGCGCCGCGCCGCGGGGCTGAAGGATAAGATCCCGGATATCCAGAAGACGCTGGACACGGTCACGTTTCTGGAGTCGCGGAGCGTATGTCTGTCTGGGTTAGGGTGGTGGTAGGGTAAGGGGTGTGTGGTGCTGACGGAGAGTGTCGGGGTAGGATTCGAGTAAGGAGATTGATGCGACGTTCGAGCTGAACGATACCCTGTATGCGAAAGCGAAGATCAACCCGACGGATGAGGTTTATCTGTGGCTTGGTGTAAGTCCCCTTGTTTCCCCTTGCCTCCTACCCCCTTTGAAGGACCAGTAAAGTGCTGAACTCCGGGACAGGCAAACGTGATGCTGTCGTACCCCGTCGATGAGGCCAAGAAGCTCCTAACGGGGAAGCTGACGGCCGCGAAGGAGAGCTTGGGGAACTGTGAGGAGGACCTGGACTTTTTGAGGCAGCAGATCACGACGCTGGAGGTGAACACGGCAAGGTTGTATAACTACGAGGTCACCCTCAAGAGGAAGGAGAAGGAGGAGGCAGGGGAGGCGGCTGGGGAGGATAAATAGTGGAGTTTAAAATTTAACATGGTTGCTTTGGGTACTCGTTTTGTGTTTCGTGGGAGGTTTGGTGGTGCGAGTGATTATTTGTGATGCAGTTGACGTTTGAGCGTTGATAATTGATTGTTAGCTTGTTACGGGTTGCTGCTATTTGGGATTTCCACTATTAGGGATTGCCAGTATTTGGGACTGCTTCTATTTGGGATTGCTACTATTTGCGTCACAGGAGCTTTGAAAGAGCTAACAATCTATAGATATCACTACTACACCCAACTCTTCTCAACCCCACCACTAATCCAAATCCACCCCCGCCCCAAAATCATAACTCCAAAACAACAAATCCCTCACACACCTCGCGACCCTCCTCTCCTCCCCCCGATTCCCCAACCCCAACACATACCCGACCCCCGCCTCCTCCGCCGTCACCCTCGCCACACACCCCCTCAACACGCCCACCTCCGCCACCGGCACCCTCTGCATGAACGCCCAAAACACATCCTGATTCTCCTGATCATACCTCTGCGGCGCCCTCCGGTTCCTCACCCGGTGCATATCCACCTCGCGCCCCGCAACAACCCGGCCCATCGTCCACACGCGCAGAAACGCCCTCTCAATAACCTTGACGGCCGCCTCCGTCTCACCGAGCTCAAACACGGGCTCCACCGCCGCGCGCGGATGCACCACGCCCCACGCAGGATCCATCACGAGGCGCGCGCGCGCAATGTAGATGGGCACCACCGCGTCCAGGGCCTTGCGCGCGCGCATCATGGCCGGGATGTCGTCGAGCGTGGGGACGCGCTGCGCGTCGATGTAGGCGTGGGGCGCGTGGAAGACCTGCAGGAGCGCGCACACGGCGGGGAGCTGCTCGGCGTCGAAGGCGGCGACGGCGACGTGGTGCGCGAGTGTTTGGGCGTGCTGGGCGCGGGCGAGGGCGAAGTCGGGGTGGTGGAGGAGGAGCGCGCCGAGCGCGGGGAAGGAGGGGTGGGCCGCGGTCAAGGCCGCGGTGAGCGTGCCTGGGAGCTTGTGGACGCGGGAGGAGGGCGGTGGGAGGTAGGGGGTGAGGGAGGGGAGGCGGAAGAGCTGGATGAAGGTTTGGATTATCTCGAGGGAGTGGGCGCGTGGGGGGTCGCCGGCGAGGGGGGGGATGAGGGCGATGGGTGGCATGGTGGTGGTTTTTTTTTTGGGGGGGGGGGTTGTTTGGGTTGAGATGGGTTTCTCTTTATGGTTGTTTGGTTCAAGGTGAGTTTCTCTTTGCACGATGTTGTGTGAACTCAGTCACAAGTGGGCCTATTTATTTCACGATAGCATGTTGGACAGATCATCTTGAATGTACCTATCCAGCGGCATACCATCTTGAATTCCTCCTAGTAGGCGTAGATAACACCTTCAAACCGAAGACTTGAAAAAAAAAAAACATGTAGTCAATGACCAATCCCACCGAGTGATAACCTGTGATTGCACCCGTCCATAGACCAACCCAGCCATCCTCTTCTTGACCACTTTACTACATGTGCATGTAACAGACACAATCGCCTCGTTAATGGCTACATAATCTAAAAAGGGTTTCATCAGGTTGGGTCATTACTTATCACTCGATCCCGAACCGAGCTCGGACCAGCCCTCTCCCTCTCCTTTCGGGCCCTCGGCGATAACCCAGAGCCCAGCAGGACAGAAGACCATGTCCATGGTAAGGGGCGGAGGTGCACTTATCGACTGTCCATGAGGCCTGCGGAGCTACGAGGATGGGGGAGGGGTAACTACGGTGGGGCGAGGGGGGCGGAAGCTGTGGGGAACAGGATGGGGGGGTCTACGGAGGCCACAGAGAGAGAGTGAGACGGCGAGGGAGCACAGCGCCCCCCCCTCGAGCCCACAAAAAAAAAAGGAATTTACAAAAAAAAGGGGGCAGAGAGAGCTATATCACACAGGTGACGGAGCTCTCTCTGCCCACATCTACAAAATCAATCCAGGCGAGGGAACAAAACTTTCCCCCCACCCCATCCATGCCCACCCGCCAAAAAAAAATTGTCACAAAAAAAAAAAAAAAAAAAAATGGGCAGAGAGAGAGAGCTTCGTGCTCTCGCTGCCCGCGTCTACAATAATAATAATAATAAAAAAAAAAACGCCGGAGGGAGGCAACAAAGGTTCCTCCGCCCGCCAAAAAAAAAGGGGGGGGCAGAGGGAACACAAGTTCCATCCGCCCCGCCCTACAAAGACACAGTGGAGGAGCACCACTCCCGCCCGCCAACCCACCACCACTCCACTTCCACTTCACCGCCACCGAGAATCTCCCCCGTGTCCCCGGCCCCGCCCGAAACACAGCGAAGCTCCCCACCAGCGGCAGCAAAAAGAAAAAAAAAGAAAGAAAAAGATCAAAAATTATACAGCCCAGGAGCCCTCAGGCTCTCTGGCAGAGCCACCACTCCCCTTTGTGCAATGGGTGTAGTGTTCTCCGGAAGCCCGGCCATTGTGACCACCGGGCTTCGCTGCTAGGTACTTACATGTAGGCACATGTAAGTATGATATGATATGAGGGGAGAAGAAGAGGTGCGGACATCTTGGGGTTTATAAAGACTGAGTGATCTTGGCCCGGGGGGGGGGGGGGGGTGGGATCTGGCCGCTGTAGGGTGGGGCTTGGTGGTGATCGAGCTGTCTCGTTGGGATAAGGGTATCGTGGTCAGCTGGCGTACTGCTAATGCGTAGGTGAAAGCTTGCAATAGAGGTCCGGCCTTCACAGCTGGAGTCAAATGTGTGCAGAGGACGTCGAAAAGTGCAGGTAAAGTCACGATAAAGACCCTCCTTAGAAAATTACGTGTCGGTTGCTCAAATACTCCCAATAGAAACCCGGAGCGTTATTCACGAGTTTTTAGAATATTCTACAATATGTATACAGACCAAATGCTTGAGAGAATCTGGAACAACGTAGACCGCATAGATAAACGTGACCCCAGTTACAAAAGAAACACCTCTACAAGGACCGTAAGCAGAGCCACCACTCCCCTCCGTGCAATGGGGTGCTGCGTGCTCTGGAGGCCTGGTCATCATGAGCACCGGGTCTCGTCGTTTCCCAAAAGTAAAGAAGTCTGAGGAGGAGCAGAAGACTTTGAGGGGGCGGAGGATGGGGCTTATATAGTGGCGGGAAGGGTGTTGAGGTGATGTGGTGTGATGGGGGCCGGGTGGCCTTTTGAGGTTGATACATGTGGATGTGTGTGTACTCTACGTGTTTAACTAAAAGTGCGAGACTGCATGTATCCATGCCACATTATCGTGCCTACAGAACTAAAAAATGGTGTGGATTCACTACAGTATTCCCGTTAATGCGCTAGTAATGTAGCAAGAGAACGGTATTGGTGCGGTATTCTCTGCTGAATTCCGCAGTACCATGGTATTGATTTCAGGACACCCCGCCTTTTCGTACTGTAGTTACATGAACCGATACGTGTCTGCACACAAGCTGGCAGGCCCGTTCGACTCGGTTACAAAAAAATGTCTTTTTGGCCATCTAGAGCTCGAGCGATTCACACGGTAATATATCTATTAGACGAAATGAAAAACACGGCAATAACCCTAACAACCATAACAGAGGTAAGAGGTAACGCTAGATTGCCTCGCCCTCTACAGACCTCGAGGTGGCCGCGTGTTTACAAGTCTCGGCCCTGCGAGGGAAGAGCGAAGACACCGACGCATGCGTGCGTACGTACGCCAGGAGGCAAGTGTCTGTTAGCACGACGCCTTGGTTTCTTGAGCCGGCATCTCTCAAGCCACAGAAACACGCTCTTTACCGCTCAGAGCCATCAAGGGTTCCAGGGTTCCACTGGAGGGTTCTCACCACAATCCGCGCCAACTGCCACCGAGTGACGCACCATGACGGCCCCTGGAAATGACCGCTGCAACCACAAAGCCACGCAGGGCCAGGGTTCCCATCGCGCCCTCACGTGACGCCACCACGGATCCGCAGCATCTCCGCCAAGCCACTGTGCGTGTTTATCCCCCCGCCAACCCAACGCAACCTCTCCTCCAAACACGCAGAGCGGGAATCGAGAACTACAGCCAAACAGCCCCCCTTCACACAGCTTCATCACCCGATTCCACAATAAATCACACCCACTCACCCGCCCACAACAGCTGCCCACCACGGCTCCCAAAAAACCGCCCCCACCCCCCCCACCCCCCACCGCCCATGTCCACCACCACCCCCTCCCGCCCCTCCCGCCGCGCCGCCGCCTCCCGCAAAAAGATAATCGACTCCTCCTCGGACGAGGCGGCGCCCGGCTCCGCCATCAAGCACGAGGAGCCCGACGACGAGTTCGAGGAGCAGACGCCGCCGAAGCGCAAGTCGCGGCGTGTCAGTGCCGCAGCCAGCAGCAGCAGCAGCGCAGCAGCAACCACCGCAAAGCCGCGGCGGCGCGTCAAGGCCCGCAAGACGGAGGAGGAGGAGGCCGAGGGGGAGGAGGAGCCCCCGAGGAAGCGCGCGGTGAGGGGGACACGCACGAGGAAGGCGGCGGCGCGTGGGGGGTCGGAGGTGCCGGCGCTGGAGGTGACGCCGCCGAAGGTGGAGGAGGAGGAGGAGGAGGAGGCTGAAGAGGATGTGGACGTCGATGCCACGCCGAGAGCACGACAGCAACCGCAACCACAGCCCGAGTCCCCAACACCGCAGTCCCGCCAGACCACGCCAGCCCCACATCTGCAGTCCCGCCCCGCAACACCAACACCAGCACCAGCACAAGCATCACGACAGACCACCCCCGCCCCGCACTCCCACTCCCACTCCCGCCACTCCACCGCGCCCCCCCAAACACCCCACAACCGCTCACACTCCGTCACCCCAGGCCCGCCACAAACCCCGCTGCGCACCATCATCGCCGAACTCAAGTCGTCGCCGTCGCCGCGCAAAGCCGCGCCCATGTCGCCGCGCCCCGGCTCGCGCGACTCCATGCTCGCGGCGGGCACGCAGGCGCCGCTCGTCGTCAAGAACCGCACCAACACGCTGTTTGAGCAGCAGCAGGCCGAGGAGCTCGCGGGCCCGAAGCCACGGCTCGTCATCACGCATCTGGTGCTCGTCAACTTCAAGTCGTACGCCGGGCGGCAGGAGGTCGGGCCTTTCCACGCCGTAAGTGTCTCCCTCCCCCCCCCCAATACAATCACAGTCTATCACTCGCCCCCCCCCCCCCCTCCATACCTACTAACACACGCAGTCCTTCTCCTCCGTCGTCGGCCCCAACGGCTCCGGCAAATCCAACGTGATCGACTCCCTCCTCTTCGTCTTCGGCTTCCGCGCCTCCAAAATGCGCCAAGGCAAGATCAGCGCCCTGATCCACAACAGCGCGCACCACCCCCACCTCGACCACTGCGAAGTGCAAGTCCACTTCCGCGAAGTCCTCGACTCACCCACCGGCGGCGACCCCACCCCGCTGCCAGACACCACCCTCGTCGTCTCCCGCCGCGCCTTCAAGAACAACAGCAGCAAGTACTACATCAACGACGCCGTCTCCGACTTCACGGCCGTCACAGGCCTACTACGTGCCCGCGGAATCGACCTCGACCACAAGCGCTTCCTGATCCTACAAGGCGAGGTCGAGAGCATCGCGCAGATGAAGCCGAAGGCCGCCTCCGGCAGCGACGACGGGCTGCTCGAGTACCTCGAGGACATCATCGGCACGAGCAAGTACAAAGCGCCGATCGAGGCGAGCGCGGGCGAAGCGGAGGAGCTCAACGAGGTGTGCGTCGAGAAGCAGGGGCGCGTGGCGCACGTCGAGAAGGAGAAGGTTGCGCTGGAGGGGCGCAAGGACGCGGCGCTGGAGTATCTGCAGCGCGAGAACGAGCTCGCGCTGAAGAAGGGCGCGCTGTATCAGCTGTTTGTGGGCGAGTGCGAGGAGAATGTTGCGGTGACGGGGGGCGTGGTGGCGCAGGTGCAGGCGAGGCTGGATGAGGAGCTGGAGAGGAGGGGGGGGAGTGAGGAGGGGATTCGCAGGTTGGAGGGGAGGTATAAGGAGGGTGCTAAGGAGGTTGAGGTATGTGTTGCGTCTGTGTGTGTGTGTGGGGTTTGGCTTGGGGGTGAGTGGTTTGCTGATACGGGGTGGTTGTAGGAAGTCGAAGAGGCGACCAAGGCAATCCTGAAGGAGATGAGCCGGAACGACAAGGAGAACGTCAAGTTCCAAGAGAAGGAGAAGTTCCTCACGCAGAAGCAGAAGAAGCTGCAGAAGTCCATCCAGACGGTATACATCATCATTGACCCTATCATTGACCCTAACCACACTCTACAATTCTAACACAACCACCGCAGAACAAACTCGCCGCCTCCGAAGCCACCTCCATGATCGAGAAGCACACCGCCGACATCGCCCGCCACAGCGCCGAGATCGCCTCCCACGAGCAGAACCTCGCCGTCCAGGAAGCCGAACTCGACCGCATCCGCGACACGCTCAAAGAGAAGACGCAAGGCTTCTCGGACCAGATCGCCGCCAAGCAGAAGTCGCTCGAGCCGTGGAAGGAGAGGATCAACGCGAAGCAGTCCGCCATCGCCGTCGCGCAGTCCGAGCTGGACATCCTGCACGAGAAGGCCAACGCCTCCAACAACGCCCTCGAGGAGGCGCGCGCAAAGATCACGGCCATCCAGAACGCGCGCGCGACCAAAGAGCAGGAGCTGAAAGAGTGCCGCAAGGAGCTCAGCCGCCTCGAGAAGGAGGCCGCAAAGGTCGAGACCTCGCTCGGCGCCATGGCCGCCAAAGAAGCCCCGCTCCGCACCAACCTCTCGAGCGCGCGCCAGAAGGCCGACGAAGCCAAGGCCTCCCTCGCCGCCACCCAGACCCAAGGCACCGTCCTGACGGCGCTGATGCGCCTCAAAGAGTCCGGGCGCATCGAGGGCTTCCACGGCCGCCTCGGGAACCTGGGCACCATCGACGCCCGCTACGACGTCGCCATCTCGACCGCCTGCCCGCAGCTCGACAACATGGTCGTCGACACCGTCGACGCCGGCCAGCGCGCCATCGACCACCTGCGCAAAAACAACCTCGGCCGCGCCAACTTCATCTGCCTCGACAAGCTGCCCAACCGCCCCCTCGGCCCCATCGCAACCCCCGAAAACGTCCCCCGCCTCTTCGACCTCGTCACTCCCAGGGCCCCCGCCCTCGCGCCCGCCTTCTACAACGTCCTGCAGAACACCCTCGTCGCGGCGGACCTCGCACAGGCCAACCGCATCGCCTACGGCGCGCAGCGCTGGCGCGTGGTAACCCTCACCGGCCAGCTCATCGACAAGTCCGGCACCCTCACCGGCGGCGGCAGCACCATCTCACGCGGGCGCATGTCGTCCAAGCTCACCGCCGAGACCACGCGCGACCAAGTGACCAAGCTCGAGGTCGACCGCGACGCCCAAGAGCGCGCCTACACCTTGTTCCAGTCCGAGCAGCGCGAGCTCGCCACAGCGCTTCGCGACCTCCGCGAGCGCATCCCCGAGGCGCAGACCGCCATCTCCAAGATCGAGCTAGAGCTGTCGAGCGCCGCGCGCCACCTGGCCGACGCCGAGAGGCGCGTCAAGGAGCTGACGGTGCGCGGGCGCAAGTCCAGCGCCGACGAGAGCGTCGGGCGCATCCGCGCGCTCGAGCAGCACGTCGCAGCCCTCGAATCCGAGATTGCGGGGCTGCACGCCGAGACGGCGGGCCTCGAGGCCGAGATCCGCGCGCTGCAGGACCGCATCATGTCCGCGGGGGGCATCCAGCTGCGGTCGCAAAAGGGCAAAGTCGACGGGCTGCGCGAGCAGCTCGAGCTCGCCAACGAGCAGGTGGCCGCCGCAGACCTCGCGCGCGTCAAGGCCGAGAAGAACCTCGCCAAGGCGCACAAGGCGCATGCGGGCGGGGCGGCCGAGCTGGGCGCCGTGGCGGAGGAGCTCGAGGCGCTGAAGGACGAGATCCGGGCGCACCGGCTTGCGTGCCAGGAGAGCGCCGCGCGCGCCGAAGAGGCTGCCGCATACCTCGAGGAGAAGAAGGACGGCCTCGCGGCGCTGAAGAGCGAGCTCGACGAGCGCACGGCCGGGCTGAACAAAACCCGCGCAGCAGAGATCGAGATGAAGAACAAGCTCGACGAGCACCACAAAGTGCTCGTCGAGAACCAGAAGCGCAGCGCGCACTGGCAGAAGGAGCTGTCCAAGCTGTCGCTGCACAGCGTCGCGGGGCTGACGGGCGGCGGCGACGACGACGACGACGACGCAATGGACGAGGACACCGAGCTGCCCGTGTACAGCCGCGACGAGCTGGGCGACCTCGACAAGGCGCAGCTGAACGCGCAGATCGCCGCGCTCGAGGAGAAGCTGGCCAACGTGAACGTCGACCTGGCCGTGCTGGGCGAGTACCGGCGGCGGGTCGAGGAGCACGCTGCGCGGTCCGCCGACCTGGACACTGCGGTGGCCGCGCGCGACGGCGTCAAGGCGCGGCTGGACGACCTGCGGAACCGGCGGCTGGAGGAGTTTATGGCGGGCTTCAGCGCCATCTCGTTGCGGCTCAAGGAGATGTACCAGATGATCACGATGGGTGGGAATGCGGAGCTGGAGCTTGTCGACAGCCTTGATCCGTTCAGCGAGGGGATCCTGTTCAGCGTGATGCCGCCAAAGAAGAGCTGGAAGAACATCTCGAACCTGAGTGGCGGGGAGAAGACGCTGAGTTCGCTGGCGCTGGTGTTTGCGCTGCACCATTATAAGCCCACGCCGCTGTATGTGATGGATGAGATTGATGCGGCGCTGGACTTTCGCAATGTCAGTATTGTGGCGAGCTATATTAAGGAGCGCACGAAGAATGCGCAGTTTATTGTCATCTCGTTGAGGAATAATATGTTTGAGCTGGCGGAGAGGTTGGTGGGCGTTTACAAGGTTAATCATATGGTGTGTTTTTTGTCTCTATCCTGATACACATACCTTGACGAAGATACTAACTGTTCGGGTTATTGCAGACTAAGAGCGTCACGATCGAGAATAGGGATTATATTGAGAAGCGCTGATTCACTCACTCACACTCACTCGCTCACGCAAGCCAAAAAATAAAGATATCGTTTTTTTCTAGTACTTTTTTATTCTTCTTTTTCGTAATTGGCTTAAGCTTGTATAGGGTAGGCTGTTATTTATTTTTTCCAGAGATAGTTATACCCCCCCCCCCCCCGCGGCTCCCGCAACATTTTTACGTGTATGAATGGATGGATGGTATGGGTTTTTGGATGTGTGATGAAGTAAAGTATTCTTTCCTACGGAAATATATTGTCGGGTTATGGATAGGCCTCCCCTGGTGTGTAGTTGTGTTCTGTGTGGGAGTGGGGCTGGGGGGGTAGAGCTTTACGACTATGGTGGATTTGATAAGTTGGTTTGTTGCGCAAGATTACGGGCTAGCTAGTAGTATTATGACCGAACAAAGGAATTTCTGAAAGGGTAGCAGCCTCAAAGGAATTGTGTATATTATTGCAGCCTTTGTCCACATATAGCCTAGGTCATTAATCATTGTTCCACCAAAATCATTTCCACCGCACCCACCCAACCAAGTTGAACCAACCACAAACCCAGTAAAATTAATAAAGTAACCAACCAACCAACCAACCAACCCCAAACCACCTCAATCACAACCCATCACTCGCCCCCCCCGCCCCCCAGCTAAATCCTCACCACCACCTTCCCCCTCACCCTCGCACTATCCAACAACTCAAACCCCCTCTTCCACCCCTCCTGCAACCCCCCATCAATCACCTCCTGCACCTCCACCCTCACCTCCCCCCTCACCACCAGCTCCCTCGCCAACTCCAGCCACTCCCTCTTCGCCTTCAACAGCACACACGCATACCTCGGCCCCACCACCCACCCCCACAGGTGTCGCCACGCCATCGCCGGATGCGTCAGATACGTCGCAGGGCCGCCCATGACCGCACGCGACGTCTTGTCGCCCACGATCGTCACGTACGCGCCGCTGCGCGGCAGCAGCTGCGTGTACGCCGGGAAGAGGCTTGTGCCGCCGACGCAGTCGACGATGAGGTCGTAGCCGGCCTTGGGGCGCTGTGCGAGCAGCGCCGAGGACAGCGAGGGGACCTGCGTGTAGTCGATTGTGCGGTCTGCGCCGAGGGAGGTCACGAATTGCTCGTTCTTGCCGGAGCAGATGGCGGTCACGGTGCAGTTGTAGTGCTTTTTGGCCACTGTGCTCATATATAGCCAGTATCAGCATCAATAACAAACTAATAAAACTTATATACTCGCCAGAAAAATAAAGTCTGGGGATGAATTAAGTACCGTTGCAACGAAACCGTTTAGGCCAGGTGCTTAATTCATCCCTAGACTTTATTTTCTGGCGAGTAGCTAGCGTTGGGGGGGGAGGGAAACAGACGCTGCGTGGTCCACACGCCCGTCCCGCCGCTCGCGCCCACCACAACCACCTGGCGGGGCGTGCCGTCCTTGTGTGGTGGCGGGAGCCACTCAAGACACGTAAACGCCGTGAGGGCAACAAGCGGGATCGATGCCGCCTGCTCATGGGAGAGTTCAGCGGGCTTCGCAACGACGGGGTCGGTGGTGGGGTCGACGACTAGGTATTCTCTGATCGTGCCTTCGCCGCCCTATATACATACACATCTGCATCAATACCACCATCTACAGCTACTCAAAACGGTCTAGCTACTTACCAATTTAAGAAACAGCCCAAAGACCTCATCTCCAATCTTCCAGTCCTTACAGTTCTTGCCCACGGCGACAATAGTGCCCGAGTAGTCGCGGCCAAGGCCCTTGGGGCCAGAGCCCTTCAGGAGGCGCAGCAGCGGCCAGTGCAGCAGCTGCGTGTCGTAGGGGTTGAGGGCGGCGGCATGGACGCGGACGAGGATTGAGGATGACGGGAGCGGAGAGGGGAGCGGGTGTGTGGTGACTTGCGGCGTGGAGCTCGGGGTCGTGAAGGTTAGTGCGAGGGAGGTGGTGGGGATTGTGGTGGCGGTGCCGCTGCCGGTGGCCATTTTGTCACGAGTGTAGTAATAGTTGGGGGCCCAAAATATTTAAATGCGAATAGGATTTAAAGCTAGTTACAGTTGAGTTTTTTAGAATGCGAAGAGAGAGCGTCATCTAAATACGTAGACTTAGTACTCGAGCTATATATTCTAGTCAATTCGATCCCTAGATTCTCCAACCCCCCCGAGATTTGAAGGTTGTGGGGAGAGAGAAATGGGGTGATAAAGCGCGAGACCATAATAATATCCAGCAGCCCTATCATTACCTCGGGGATCGTCGCCCCATTACGCCATAACGACGATAGATTCGTTTAATTTACCCGTCTTGGGTGCCGACAGATGACAGGGACAGGGAAGGGAAGGGAAGGACAGGGCCGCAACCGAGACTTGGCCCATGCTTTCGATTTATCAGCGAATACATGTGTATCGTGTAGTGCTAATAGTAATAGCAGGTCTTCATGCGCCATCTCTAGCTGTCTATCTCCGGAATCACCGCTACTGCCGTGCCTTGGCGGGTCGGATAAGCAATATCTAGAGTATATAATCGATTTACTGCATTGCAGTAGGACGCATATAACTATCGCCCATCTCAGTGAGGACCGCGCAGCTATTATTAGGGTCGACACGAACATATCTCATCTACCGACATTCCTCACCGAAACCACAAAGTGGTTCTTTGAGACTTTCCATGGAGGAGATCTCAGCCCGGCGCGAGATCTAATCGGATCCAACATGCTAACTAGCAGGGGCAAGTCAAACACAAAGGACGGACGACGGAGAGGGTGCCTGTTTTTCTCGAGGCCGACATACTGGATGTAACAAAGACCTGTTTTGGTCAGTCTTTAATTAACGTATCAGAGACATAGGACAAAGAACAGCAACCTCGGCGGGGAAGCGATATATATATATATATCCTGAAATCATATAGCGGGTGGGAGGTAGACCACCAAGTATCGATCATCAAGCATACATTCTGCAGCTACAAACCTGTGTATACTTTGCTAATTATTCCCCTTGACTATCTATCTAGCCATTAGCTTGACATCAACATTCAATTTTGAACTACAGTCTGGTTTTAACCCACAAAAGACAAGAGGTCACTGACTGGTCCAACACTGATATCAGAAAAAACACAAAAAAAAAGGGTCACAAAAGATGGACGAGGATCCCCACAAAACTATATATGTACCCGTTGACATGGCAGTGGATGTCCCTGTCTATATAGCCGGTCTCGGAGCAAACTACCAAGATGCCCTTCTCACCGGCGGCGAACCCTTGATGATGCCCGAGCGTCAAATAGTTTCCTACCGTCTCCCCGGCCCCGCCACAGAAGGCGACGGCAGATACAACCAAGGCTGCTTCGTCTACAAAGGCCGCGGCCCGGACCCCCAAAAGATCCACAACCGCGCCAACGAAGTCGGCGCCATGCGTCAAGCCGCGCAGTGGGCCGCCCAGGGCAGGCACGAGCACGCCCACATCCCGGCGCTCTATGACAGCTTCACCGACTTTCCGCGGGACGGGACGGCTCCAACACAGCCGGTCTATGCGGCCATAGAATTTGTCGAGGGGGATCAATATCGGGCTAGATACATCAGAACCGGCTGTGTGGGGTGGTCCGTCCGGCAGAAACGGAGTTTTGTGCGCCAGCTGGCCCTGTTTCGGCTGTCAATGATGCACATGCGTGGAAACAGGATTTGCGGGGTAAACCCAGATTTGACCCCGGGTTTGATGGTAGGCCACAACATCGCCAATCGAGACGTCCGCGGTGGTGGAAGGTTGGCCGGCGGCGTCATGGACCCGCTTTACTACGACAACCTCGGGCCCGTGCGTAGTGAGCGAGCGTGGACGGAGCAGGCTATACGACGAGATATGGATTACTGGACCACCGAGGTTGACGCCATAAGGATGAAGATAATGAAGGGCAGGTACAGGTCTGTCTTCGACTGGACGCCAGAAAGCTTCCGCACACATGTCCAGTACCACGCCTGCCAGGTCATACTACGCAGGTTCCGCGAGCCCTGGGAGGAACTGGACGCGCCAACCGCCGACTTCCCCTTCTGTTTTGACCACGGCGATCTGCAAAGTGGATTCAATATCCAGTGCTTCAAGGATTCGCCACGAATCCGCGCGATCATCGACTGGGAGACGGGAATGTTTGTGCCCTATAGCTGGGCCGTCCGAGATATAAACCCGTACAGCACCGGAGCGGGAGACTGGGACAAAGAGCTCAAGACGCTTCGAGAAGGTGACATGCCCTTTGGGACCGATATCTACTGGGACCACCACATCGCCTTCTGGAAGCGGGAAAACCGGTGGAAACAGCGAACCCGAGCCCGCCGCATGGAGCGGGCACGCAGGAAGGGCACCAGAATATCCACCATGAACGACAACGACTTTGCTGCATACGGCAAAATAACCCCGCGAGATCTCATGTTTGGGGACACTCTTGACGAGGAGGCATGGGGTGAGGAGGAGCCGGATGACCTCGATCCGTTTTATGTTTCAGGGAAGAGGGCCTATGTTCCGCACAGGACTCCGATACATGTTGAGCCAGGAACGTGGTATTATGAGCCGGTGATGAAGCTCATTGATGATTTTATGCAGACCGAAATGCATGTCGGACCACTGTGCAAATACCTGGACCCGTATGCAGAACAATGGACTACGAACAACATGGCGATGGTCAAGCCTCCTTGAGTGTGCGCTCGCTCAAACTATATATGTAAGCATTGGATATGTGGCCATTTGAAGCTGAACTTGTACGCCCCGGTTTCGTGACATTTGTGACTATTTCCTTCCGGTGTATCTTCCTATTCACATCATGTGTCCTTTAATTTTAATTTACTTTACCTGGGCGCATGCCACCATAAATTTTATGGTTTTTCTCCGCTGGTTCACCTCTTGGATCTGTATATCCTATCCATTTGACGTAGTACTGTAAACCGTTTCGTTTCCTTGTCGAGAATATTCCAAGCCGTGTATTCCTGAGTTCCTCTTGATTGAAAATCAGTATTTGTACGCGCACCAATTAACCCAAACTGGCAAACTTACAGTTCCCAGGGAGTATGTTTCCCTTATATGATACTCGCATCATCCCTTATCGGTAGTGTGTACGGTGAAGAGAAGTGCAGTGACGTACGGACTGCGTGTCCAATATCCTATCATTGTCAATGTTACCCACGAGAGGCTCCTATATCAACAAATCAGCTAGGCACCGTCATGCAAGTATGGACTAATATGTATTTAAGCTTCATCCAGTCGCAATACCTACCACGGGACCCCGCGTGCAACTAACCTGGTTGGGATCAAAATCAATATCAGAAGATCCATTGGTGAAACCTACAATTCCAGCTGCATGCAGTAAGTCTCATGTACATCAGCGAATAGTACCTCGTCTCAAAACGATTGACCTATTAACGAGATTGAATCCCTAACAATTGAATCCACCCAGGTACGTCCTTAGGTGGAAAAATAACCTTATCCCCATCGTAATCCCCCCAAAAGAGTGGCATAAACTACATCGGTGCAAGCGTCGTCCTTGGCAGGCCACCTTGGGTTAGGCACAATGCCTGTGCTCCCCGACCTTCCTTAAATGTGATCAATTACTCTACAGAACAACTACTTCGTATTGGGGTCAATTAATGGGGGCGTAGGCCATGATGTTACGTACCGTCGCGAAGTCCCGAGCTGTAAAGGAGAGGGTAAAAAAAAATAAACTTCGGAGGTCTCCGAAAGAAAGACTCAAAAACGCAAAAATCCCCATGAGCGAAAACAATAAAAATGACACTGAATGAAGAAGCATCGCCAACAATGAATTCTGCAGCTAATTCAGAAGAATCTCAAGCTTCTCATCCAGCTCAGATGCAGGCCACCCGCCAATTCGCCACGGACCTACCGGTTCTTTCAGAGACGGTTTCCCACACAGACTTAGGAGAGAACACTGAAAACAAAGGAGATGCGGCCACAGCGCCCTCAAACTCTGACGGTAAACAGTTTTACCCAGAAGGTGGCAAAGATGCTTGGTTGGTAGTCTTTGGCTCGTTCACGGCCATGATTGCTTCTTTTGGCATCATGAACACCATTGGCACGTTCCAGACATACCTCGCGTCCCATCAGCTTAGTAGCTATTCTGAGGGACAGATCGGCTGGATTTTTGGTGTCTATGCATTTATCAGTTTTTTCGGGGGGATTCAGATCGGTATATAGCTGCATCCAATTAATATATACGGGCCGGACTAAACAATTGCTTCTTGCTAGGTCCAATATTCGATGCTGCCGGACCACGGGGGTTAATCGCTGCTGGGACAATATGCTTAGTTGCAGGTCTAATGATACTGAGCGTTTGTAAATGTAATAATTCCATGTGCTCCAATTGCCGAAGAAATGTGTTAATCTGATGTGCTACCGGTGCATAGTGTACTGGCACTTTATGGTAATATTCGGCGTATGTTAACCCCCATGACCCCTGGCTATTCTCAACTAACTGAAGTATTAGATCCTCACCGGTCTTGGCACATCTCTTATATTTACCCCAGCCGTCGCTTCAATTGGGCATTGGTTTCTTGTCAAAAGGGGCTATGCGATTGGTCTAGCAACTACCGGCGGCTCAGTCGGCGGCATCGCTTTCCCTCTGATAATACAAGCCGCTACTCCGAAAGTTGGGTTTGCGTGGGCTGTTAGAATCGTGGGTTTTATATGTTTGGCCTTAATGATCATTGCAAATTGTTTGGTCCGCGGTCGACAAGAGTTTATAGACGCATCTCCTGGGTCGCAAACTCCATCAGATTCCTCCATAGTGTCAAACATAGACGGGGCCGCAACGGAAAAGAAGCATTGGGCCTCTTTCCTTAAATATGGCTCGAAGAATGGTAAAAGTAAGAAATCGACGAAACCCCAAAGAAAGGGGGTAAAGATAGACCTGAGTGCGTTTCGTGATCCTCGGTTTACTCTCACAACAATTGGCATCTTCTTGATTGAATGGGGCATATTCGTCCCTCTCACCTACCTCACTTCGTATTCCCTTAGATATCTCGGCCTGCCAGAAAACTTCTCTTACCAGCTTCTTGCAATCCTAAACACTGGCTCTGTGTTCGGCCGTTGGCTGCCTGGAATAGTCGCGGACAGAATTGGGAGATTCAACACGATGATATTGACGGTTTCGTTCTGTCTCGTTGTCGTCCTAAGTCTATGGCTACCATCGAGTGCGGTTGCGGAGGATAATGTCGCTGGCCGAAAGGCAATCATGATTGTGTTTGCACTGTTGTATGGCTTTGGAAGCGGGAGCGGAATTAGTTTGACTCCAGTGTGCGTGGGTCAGATATGCGACACAAGGGAGTATGGGACAAAATACGGGACCTGTTATTTCTTCGTTAGTTTTGGGTACGTGGGCCATCATCCATTCATCCTTGCATTAAATCGATCATGGCTAACGTTATGCCCTTGGTAGAACTTTAACAGGTATCCCCATAGCGGGTCAGATCATCAACTCAATGAACGGGAAGTTCACTGGCTTGATCTTATTCACTGCTGCCTCTTATGTCGGAGCACTGCTCTTCTTTATTGCAGCACGGATTGTTGGGGGTGGAAAATCATGGAGGACAGTTTATTAAGGACATTAAAAGTGTTTTTTTGTTTTTTGTTTTTATTAACGGGTTAGGTAAAATAATGATACAAATGATTTATGTAATAAAAAAGCTTCATTTTCGGTTGATCTTTTTGACTTCTTTATAATTTAGCTTTTGTTATAGTCGACGTATATACATCTAGGCGTTAGTAATATATACTCGAATATATAAACCCTAAACAAGCAGCAGCTTAGTGGAACACCGATGAGTATGGCTCTGTCCTAGAGGATAGAAACGTCTAGCATTTACGCCGTTTTAAAACTCGTTACCTAGTAGCATAATACTCATGAGCAAGCATCGAGCGCGAGGCTCACAAGACTGATAGAACAATTATCTGTGACGCTAGATTTCACTTCCTTCTCGAAGAACGCTCTATAGCTTGTGGCTATGCAGTCGCGGGTTCTATTTCCGTGAATCTTATAAATTCCTGTTTCTGGTGTTGATCACCAGGGGTAGAATTTGGATCTCGGTGAGCACTAGGCGTTGAGAACTTTGGCACGTGCCAGGCATCACAACGTGTGACTGAACTCACGAGCTCTACTAAGCCACAACAACATTTACGAACAAGAGACTACTACGTTCACCGTGTCTTTTCGCTCAAAAGACAGCCAAGTCAGCCTGCGCGTTCCATGTACTTTCGTATGAATCACATACACTGTGATCCAAGTACCTCTGCCAGCTAGAAGGCTTTATCACACACGAGACTTGAGCTACCACGTCATAGAATTTCTGCAATTATAAGGGCGCCCGATGCCACTCAAAATATGAACAGAGAGACTCATAGCTAAGTAAATAGTGACATCGATGGGTGACATACATGCGCGTGATAGCTGGTACTTTTGTTGGATTTGTGAACGCCCATGCGATATGTATGGTACATAAATTCCGCTGTATGCAATAGATAAATACGTGTCACTGCCATTTCTCTCGCGTTCTTTGTTCTCATTCCTCCAGAGTTATTTTTCGTTAGAAGAACTTCATAACACCATTTCCGGCCATTTGGCACTAGTTAAACTCTAAACTCGAACAAACTACTGAACAGATCAAACTTAAATTATCCTTATTAGCAACCCATGTATAACCAGACAACAAAACTCCAAGACGATTTACTTCCGGGAAAAGATCCCCACGATACTGATCAAACAGACCAAACAGACCAAACAGACCAAAATCAAGAAGAGCCTGATATCATCATGGAAACGACAGAAACTACTGAAGACCTGGTGCTTGATTTAAATCAACTCGGGGAAGGCACATTCGAATCCCCTCCCTCCTCTTCCCCAACTACACCATACGGCGGATCTGCTGAGTGGGAACAACTATCCAGTGGGGAACAATCAACAGAGTTCGAGGTTCTAACAGGATACAACCGTGTCCCAATCTACGAACGAAGAGCCCAGTGGCTCGCAGAGCAGCAGGCAAAACGGGAGAAGGCAAAACTCCAGGGATTTCCAAAGGGTATTAAATCAAACGGCCTGCCAACCTTTCAGCCAAACCCGCAGCTGCCATTCCCAATAACTGCTCAGTTTCTCCGATCTTATGGTGGAGGCGATAGATTTCCCTGGGAGAAAAGAAGGCCCCAGAATGACGATTCTCAAAGGACCGTTGTGGCACCTTTGAATAATATGTATACTCCAGAAACAACTTCTTCTCCTGCCCCATCATATCATTCAACGCCTGCATCCTCACCAGGCTCCCCAGACGAGATGCCAATCGTCTCGCCATTCACTCACACGACAGAAAAGGGAAAACCTCGTCCAGAGATGCCAAGTAGGAAGACAAGTGGTATTCCAAGCTTTACAAGTCTATTTGAATCCAAGCGTAATAGGGGTTTGTCTCCTCCACCCTTATTATGCTACCATAGCAAATTATCTGATTCCTTATGTTTGGATTTAGATCGTAACTCAAGGCCCAAAAGAGATAACCCACCACCCATGCCCACCCGGAAAACATCTACTCTTGGTTTCCCCGGGCTCGAGATTGAGCACAAATCGAAGCTAGAGATGATGCTTCCCAAGAGTGCAAACCAAACTGCCTTCCGTCTAGGCTGTTTCTTCGGGCTCGGAAGGGCGGCCTTTCTTTTATTACTTATTGCCAGTAGCTCTATTCTAGCGCTCTTTTCAGTTGTTTCTTCTCCATATTTTACAGCTCTCAATCAATATAAAACCACTTACCCATCACACGCATCTTTTATCGATTTTCCTACTCTTATGTCAATAGAAATATCACTTGAAAATATTATCGAGAGCGCAACGGGCGGGTCGGCACTCGCACGCCTGCTGAAGGAGGGCGAGATGATTGTCAATGATCTGGGCACTGTTGTTAAACACAGCGATTTGAGCTGCAGTAAAACGCTAGGAGGGAAGCTAGATCGTTTTGCAGCAGATGCACGAGAAGGTGTGAGTGCTCTGCAGATGTTTGAGACAAATGTTGGAGAAGTATTCGATCAGTAAGTCTCTTGATGCATAAACCATCAGGAGTGATATAAGGCTAACTCGTAGTTCCAAATTAGACTCCTAGGAGCAAACCAAAAGTTCCTGGGAGAATTCGCTGAACTCCAGCAGCGAGGAAGATACATAAGCATGCCATTCATATCGAAGAAGTCAAACACCGAACACACCACCACCCAGCTCTCAGCAAACTACAAGAAAACAGCCCATCTCCTAGAGTCGAACATCGAGGTTCTAATCTCTACGGGAGAGTCCATCATAGCCTCACTTGATGCCCTCTGTCAACAACACCATCCCATCTACGACGAGATTGTGCGGGAGTTCGTTAGCATTGAGCGTCAAGAGGGATCCCCATGGGTCAGAATCGGCTGGGAAAGCCCTGGCGCCAGTGTTGTGCGAAAGACAAAGATGAGAGAAAGCCAAGCACTGCTTGCAGCGGTTGGGAGCTATGAAGAGAAGGCGAGGGGATATGTTGAGAACATCCATCTGGAGCTTGAGACCATGGTGGGCGAGATGCGGAATCTGCAGAGGAGAGTGTCGAGGGTCCTGGTAAATATCGGAAACGATAATACTGGTGTAGACTACTCTGTTGAGATCTCACTGGAGAGGCAAGTAGAGGCTGTGGAGGAGGCTGTGGGTGTGATGATCAGGAGGCGGACACAGAAGACTAGAGTTTGTCATGTGAGCACCGTTGAAAACAGGCTCAGGGCTAGGAACGATACTGGAAGTTACATGGGCTCGTTCACGCCAACGAGAACTAGTAGCACCTGAGTTTCGCCAACTTCCAACATAAAATAAGGTTTCTACTCGAGGCCTTCGACTCTGGATCCCGCCCTTTCCCACGGTACCTTGCATTAGCTTGCATCTTGCATGGTGGTGCCTGGCCGTCATGCAACGTGCTGCTATCCCATCTCTACGCTGTAAGTACTCACATGTCACAGCTCAATACCTCAATTTACTTAACTCATTCTTACTTTCAAAGGCTGTCACGGGATGTCCTTTATTAGGATTTTTCCCCTCTGTCCCACGGAGCTTTGAGCGCGTGGTTTTGACTCCATAGCCCGGGGTCTACAGGGACTGAGGAAGCCAAGGTGTTCTACATCCGGTAAGCATTTTGTCTCTTATAATTGAGCTGCCCGGACTCTGAATGCTAATTATAGAGTACAGATAGGATGGGAATTGAATACCGGAGAGATAGTGAGTGCAGGAAGTGTTGGTCGCCGAAGGGGGCTTGGTTAGGTCTGATGACTGTAAAGTGTGTAACTTGGGAGAAAAGGTCATTTCTTTTGTCAAAAGTTTGTTTTTTGCCACGGTTCATTTCAAGCTAGTTAGTTAGCGAATAAATGTTACCCACTCGAGCTTGAGTCCAACGTGGCTACAGTTCCGGTTCAATTCGTGAAAGAGTTGCCCAGGCTACCTACATACATAGCTACATGCATTTCCTACAACCCCGTACTGAGACCCAAAGTAACTGCCCACTATTTACGCCTTAAAACCCAAGTAGACCTACATCTTCGCCTTGATATTCTCATGGAGCGCCTTTAGCGCATCCATATCCGTCTCCTTCGCCGGCCATCCCACCGTCAACCCCTCCTTCTCATTCGGCTTCGGAATCTACCACACCCATATCAGCACTCCCCTGCCCCTCACTTCTCTCCCCAGAACAAGAGAACTTACCATATGAACATGCACATGCCCCACAACCTGATGCGCAATCTTTCCATTATTCTGCAGAATGTTATAATCAACCGCGCCCGTCGCCAGTGCCAGCTTCTTGGCCGCCGGAAGCAGCTCTGCCAGCTCGTCGTCGGGAACGTTGTGTAGGCGCTCGCCGTGAGTCTTCGGGATCACAAGCTGTGGGGGTGGTGTGGTATTAGCTTTTGGAGTGTAGAGAGAGGGAGGGGGGAGTACGCAGTGGCCTTTAGACAGCGGCTGGATGTCGAGGAAGGCGAATATCTTTTCGGTCTCGAGGAGCTATTCGGGGCAATTAGTCAGTAGGGCCATTAATCAACTAGCTAGGTAGGTAGGATAGACAGCAGGTACCTTGAAAGACGGAATCTCGCCGCGGATGATGCGGCAGAAGATACAAGCTGCAGCCGACATTTTTGATGTTATTTAATTGAATTGTTTCGGGTAGGTATTGTTGGTTGTTAGGTAGAGTAGAACAGAGAGGTTGTGAATAGATGACGTTCCAACCTGTGGGGTCTTGAGCAGGGAGCCAAGACTTTTTATGGTTACCAGGTGCCCCGCTCCCGCGGGTGGCATGGATTAGAATACCAGTAGAGGCTCGGTCGGGGCAGGATCGGGTCTGCGGGTATCTTATGGTGGCCTCGTTAATCTTGGCCCTTTGGGAAGTAAGGGGGGGGGGTTTGATCAGTACTACTTTAACCTGACATCGCCGGCGCTACTGGACGAGACAGAAGTGGCCGAGTGATAGCCGATGACCGCCTCTGGTGCAGTGTCTACATGGCCCGACCACCACGGCTATTACAGCCGTGTCAATTCTAGCTAGTATCCTCTCCCTTCCCACTGGCCACTGCTGTACTCTAGCCCAACAGTACGTGACAGGGCACGACAACTAAAGCCCGCCCCAAAAGGACAGCCCCCCCCCCCGGTTACTAGCCGACTCTTGGCCCCAAACCTTAACCATCAATCATTGACAGCCCGTCGTCGACGACTACACCACCATTACCTCATCCAACCACAACCAGGCCAGCGCCATTACGTATACCTCAAGATCACCTTATCTGATAGCCAGCACTCATATATACCAGTATCCGCCCAGAAAGCTCACGCAGACCCCCGTTCAGAACATCACATCACCACATTCAAAAGCACATCAACTTTATGCCTACAGTACGCAGCACCGAATGTCTGGTATATACGTATATAACCTAGCTACCCTACATACATACAACCCTCTCCGGCACCTCCCAGCATCCCGTAAAGAAAAACCTCACGCGCCCGTTTATCATAAAGAAGCCAAAACGAAAGAAAGAAGATGAAGCCGTCCCTCTATATATGTAGAATAAGCAAGTAAAGCAAGTAAGTACCGAACCAAGCCACTCTTAGACACACAAATAGGAGCCACAAAGAAGGAAAAGAAGAAGAAGCGCGAGAAAGAAGGGGATCAAGAGAAAGAAGGAGAAAGAAGCCTTTGTGGATCACATAAAAAGAAAGAGAAAAAGAAAATGAGAAAGAGAGAAAAGAAAGGCCATAACTAAACACAAAAGAAAGAAAAAAAGAAAACCACACTCCACTAATTACAGTAGCCATATCCCCCACAAAAAAAGGTCTCTCCACCACCGGTCCCGCACGTCTAATCAATCTCATCAAACCTCTCCGCCAGCACCTCCTTCCCCTTCCCCTCCCTATACTTATACATCTCTAGCCTGCCCCCCTCTCCAAACACGCCCGTGCGATCATACACCGTCCTCGCCCTCAAATATTTATCCAACTCCCAATAGCCCCTCCTCAGTTCCTCTGTCACCCTCGCCCTGGCGCCCTGGTTCTCCTCACCCACCACCCACTTCTTCGTGAGCTGCTCAAACTCCTTCACCTGCCCCTCCCTCTTCCTGAGCAGCACCTCTTTCACCTCCGCGCCCTTCACCATCGCGTCGTTCTCGCCGGGCACCGGTTCAACGTAGGTGTACGACCAGTCGTCGTCGCCGCCGAGCTCCTTGAGGATGTTAGAGCGCGGAATGTAGGCCTCCATGTCCTCGACGGACTTTGTGAAGTGGATCTTGGAGGCGACGACGGGGTCGAGCCAGCCGCGGATGATGGACCAGATGGATTGGAAGATCCACGGTGCCTTATGGACCAGGCAGACGCCGAGGGACTCGGGGTAGTGGGCTTCGAAGCACTTGATGAGGTACTTTACAGGCGCGTAGTCCTATCGTCGGCGTTAGTTTTATGGGGGGATTGCAGCGGGGGAGAGAGAGACATACCATATTGGCCATGCTAAAGCCGCTCATATCAAAGACGACAGCGGCAGTGTCGACGGGGTCGCGCAGCATGAGGCGCGCGGTCTCCATGATGTAGACGGTGTACTTCTCGAGCGCCTCCTCGCTCTGGTCGGCCTGTTTGTGCAGCCGTACACGGACAAAACAGATCGGGCGGCCCTCCTTGTCCATGCCGTGCAGAAACGACTTGCCCATCCTCAGCTGCTTGATGAAGCCCTGATCTGGAGACGCTGCATATGCCTCCTCGCCCTTCGATACAACCTCTTGCACCTACAACACTCAGCACCCGCACCAAAAAACCAAAAACCAAAAGAGAGGGGGGAATGGGGGGAAACTTACATTCATCTCCTTACTCCTCCAATTCATCGTCGCTACCATCATGACCAGCGCCTTATCCACGTCCCATTTGCGCGCCCTCAAGAAGCGCAGCAGCAGCCCATCCGGGTTATCATGCTTCACCATGCTCCAAAACGCCTCTCTCAGCTCCGCGGGCGTCTGGCTCGCCAGCGCCGCCTTAAACTCCTTCGTCTGCCCATACTTGTCGTCGCTTGTATCGACCGCCGCAGCCACCTCGTTTGCAATCTTCTCCGTTGTCGCCGCAGGTGTAGCCTCGGGCTTACCCCTCCGCGACAGGAAGCGGCCCAACTTTTTCTTCTTCTCGGGAGACTCGACCACCGGGGCCGGCGTTGCCGGCGGCGATGTTGTGGTCGTGGAGGATGGTGTGCTGGCGGGTGAGGAGACGCCAAAGACGACGAGGGTGGCGGTCCACAGCTCTTTCAGCTTCGCTTCCTCCTCCTTTGTCAAGTTCCCCGCTCTACCCGGTAACATATTCTGCGGCGGCGGCATATCTTCCTCTTCCTTTTGTTGTGGTTTTATGATTTTCTGATCCGGAGAGTCCCAAAGACTGAACGGCAACGATTTCGCAAATCTGTTCTCTTTCTCGTCGTCGTCAAGCAGCGCAAACACAAACACAGCAAGCGACGCGGCAATGGTCGAGGGCAGGAACAGCGCAGCCTTTGTGGTAGCCGGGAGGGGGCGGGTTTTGGTGTTGTTATATGCGCCGGAGGAGTTGCTGCGTGATGACGTGTGCGGTGTCGGTCGGTTGGGTGTCAGTTGGGAGAAGAGGTGTCTTGGAGAGGTTCGGCGGGTAAAGGCTTTCAACATATATGACGCCCTTTATAAGTGTGAGATGAGGGGGGGGAGGGGAGAGAGGGATTAGGTGGTGGTGTTGTGTTATATGAGACTGGCCTGGGACTGCAAGTAGAAGTGCAAGAGTAATAATTGGGCTGTGAGGGAGGGGGTTGAGTGTGAGTCTGGGGAGCGAACGCGGCCCTCTGTGTCACTTTCCGTTTTTTTTTTCTTTCCTTTTTCTGGAACGGACAGAGTTGTAATAGTTCGAATAGAGAAGAGAGGGGAAATAAAAGAAGGAAAGAAAATTACCAGAGGCGCAGCTAGAATAGAATAGCCAGCAGGGGAACCGTATCTTTTTTTTTGTACCTCTCGGTCAAATAGAATTAAGAGCCTGGTTTCTGGAATGTGCCCGACTTCTTGGTTTTGGTTTTTGGTTTCTTGGATGATGTAGATACAGATCTGATCTTACACCTCTGCTCTACTCAGGGCCCTCGTTTGCATTTGCAAGGCACACAATCATACATACTTCATACATCATCACCCGTCTACATACCTGCGCATCCATCCAGGCAGCAATACCCGGGTTGGATTTACACAGCATCCAGCCAGCCAGCCAGCCAGTGAGATATTCACAACCAAATAAACCAAACAACAACAACTACTCTACCAAACCGCAATTCTCTATTCTCTTCTAAATCCTCTACATTCCCCAATCCCAATCCCCCTCCCCTCACCGTACCGCATGTCGTCAGCACTCACCATCGGGCAGCGGGGCTTCCCCCGTTCCGAGATAGTCCAGTTCAAGCCCCCGGGCTGACGTCCACCCGTGAACCAGTCGTGACCGGGACTTCGGTATCCGCATGCAGCCAGTCCCAACACGGCCTAGCCCCACCTTGTCCTTGTCCTAGTCCGTCTGTGCAACCCTGTCCGTCCGCAAACACCAAACACCCAACACCCAATCTCACTCCGTCCCTCGCAGCACCAGCAGCACCAGCAACACCAGCGATCACTCACCTCCGTCTCCGTCTATCTCCACCGCCAACCCTCCCCTTCGTCAAACAACCCCCCCCCCCCCAAAGCTACCCCCCCACGCCAACAACCACAATGCCCACCCCACCCCCCCGCCCCCCCTCCCGCCCCGCCACGCCCCTCCGCCGCTCCAACTCGCGTAGCTCCCTCCACGGCGGCCGCAGCGCCTCCGAAGCCTTCCCGCTCACAACCCTCACGCCCATGTTCGCCGAGCTCGGCGACGCCATGGCCACGCTGGAGGCCGACATGGGCGATCTCCAGATCATGCATGACTCTTTGTCGCGCTTCAGCGAGAGCTTTGCCAGCTTCCTGTATGGGCTCAACATGAATGCGTTCTGTATGGATTTTACCGAGGTATGATTCTGCTTGGGAGGGGGCGGAGGGGAGAGGGGGGGGGAGAGGGCTAATGGGGGAGAGAGGGTAGGCGCCGATTAAAGAGTCGTTTAAACGCGCAGCAGAGCATGAAGCGTCGCTGGGTATGATTTGATCACCTTTATCTCGTAGCCTCGTAGCCTAGTTCTAAGCCCACCGCTACTGTACTGACAATACAAGGCCACAACAACCCATACGACGCAGACCAATGGCGCGGCGACCATGACGCCGGCGAAGTAACCTTCATGTCTGCCTTCCCTGTACCCTCTACCCAGCCCCGAGGGCGAACATACTGACATATCCACCCACCACAGGACCACCGACACCTCGTTTGTACGTGAGCCCCGCGCGCCCTCGCCCACAGCGCACAAGACCCCGCGGCGCGGAGGTGGTACCCGTGGTGGACGGGGCGGCGTGACGGGGGGTGTCAAGAGTGGGACTAGAGGGGGGTTGAGGTATTCGAAGTGATCTTGCAATTGGGAGATCAGTAGTTTGGTATTGGTATGGAGCTAGATAGCTGTAATCACGATCACGAATTGGCATGAACTAAGGGCGTAAGGGAAATCCGGGTATGAAATAAGCTTTTTTTCTTTTATCGATGCAAACAGCCCTAGGTAGCTACATATCTGGCTAGCTGTTTCTGGCGCACAATTAGAGTAGTAGAACAGCCCCCAAAACCGGGCCGATAGGGCTGAATGCAGTCTCCAGCGTGGAATGAGCCGAGGTCTTGACACCTTTTGCGCCATTTTCATTTCAGGGTAGAACAGTGAAATAGTAGTTATTAATCATGCAATCGGTAATCGAGCATCCCGGTGCACGGAGCATCTCGAAGCTAGGAATTACCGAATCTACGGCACATTAACTCCTTAACTACGAACGGCGGCCGCGCCGGGAATGATCATGATAGGGGTTCCGTGGAAATTTTTTGTTGGGGGGCCCGTATTTCTAAGCTCGAGTAGAGAGCGAGATTATATTGCGGCGGGCTGGGGTTGTACCGGAGAGTGGGAGTGAGATTTGACATATGACTGGGACTGGGAAGGCGGTTGGCGCCAGTTGATATTGTATTCAGGACTGGGAGGAAGGCCCAATTGAGATTGAGGACTCATGCCCGTGGAGAGATTGCATATTAGGTACATAGTTGCCCTTGGGATATGTCAGCTTATGAGTCTAAGGCATTAAGAAACGTATCGAGAAAATACGAGTTTGTGATACAGCTGCAATTGCAATAGGATAATTGAGATTAGAGTTATTTGCTTGCGATGATCTCCCATCAGCACTCAATCTGCTTCCGGAACATCTTACCAATTCCCCGTAAACGTCTTGGCAAGGGTTAGGGCCCCAATAATCCCCGTAACACCCAAGCTATCACGGAGAGCCCCCCCACGCCACTCCCTTCACCTCCATACTGAGCCAGGCAAATGAGCGCCACTTCCACGACCGGGAACCAAACCGCAGAGCCCACCGCCGCCGACACCTGCGTGATCTGCCTAGACGCCATCAGCGAGCGAGCCGTCGCCTCGCCCTGCCAGCACGACGCATTCGACTATCTGTGCCTGCTCAACTGGCTCGAAGTGCGGCAGTCATGTCCGCTATGCAACGCGAGTGTGGAGGCGCTCGATGTGGTCAATAAGACGCTTGGGAGGGTCGTGAGGGTCCGTTACCTTTCTGTCCGTCTACTAGTATTAGAACGCCCACTGACAGTCCCAGCACCCCATACATCCCCCCAAACCCCCATCACCCCGCCGCCGCCGCCGCCGCGCGCGCACACCCCCAACCCCCTCTTCAGAGTTCGCCGACTCCGCCATCCGCCGCCGCCGGCACGTCTACAAGCACCACCTGCTCAGCCGCCACATCGGCAACAACGCCTACACGCGCTTCCACTCCCCCACGCCACAGCACTTCCGGCGCTCCCCCGCGCTTGTCTCCCGCGCACGTACGTTCCTACGGCGAGAGCTGCAGGTGTTTCCGTGGCTCGACGACGACCGCGAGTATGTGCTTGAGTACATCACAGCGATCCTCAAGTGCATCGACCTCAGGGGCGCGGAGGGTGCGGCGGAGGATATGATTGCGGATTTTGTGGGCAGGGAGAATGCGCAGGTGCTGGTGCATGAGTTGTATGCGTGGGTAAGGAGCCCGTTTGAGAGGTTAGTGCAGTTTGATTCGTTTGTACAGTATAACGAGGTAGAAGAGGGAGTTGATGGGGGGAGGAAAGAGGAGAGGGGGCCTGGGGATAGTTATAGACCGAGGTATTCGGGGCTTGTAGAGTAGATAGATACATCATTAATCAAGTACATATTAGAAACAGATTTACAAATATTTGATCAGTAATAAAGTGAAACTCGGTGTCAATAAGAGCTCAAGATAATCAAGCACTGTTCGAATCGGGACACGAGTGATTAGCCATGATCGCCACGGGGGTAATGATAGGAATAACAGGATATGTAACCAACACACGCTACATGTAGTTACCCCCAAAAGCCCCAATGATGCTCGTTATCACCCCGCCATTACCCGCCCTAATAGATTAACAACAACAACACCTAACCCAAGCCATCTATCTACTTACCAGATGAGCCGACCACCATCATCACCACCACACCCCCCTACACCCACGACAACGTCAGCGCCAGACATGCATACATCTCGTCCTCACCCTCATCACACCTGCCTCTCCCGACCGGTGGCCAACGCGCAGGCTGGGCAGATTGCCCGGGGCCGTGAACGCGCTGAGGCTTAAGGCAGCTTGCCAACCCGGTTGGGAGACTGGGTGTGTAAGGGTGTGGCCTTGTGTTATCAGTCAATTGCCATACCATCATTTCAACTCCCCGGGGCCAACACACCGATTTTTATCTGAGAAACCTTTAGAGCAGTATACAACCGATGAACAAAGTCTTTTGGGTGCAAGAACTGACGATTAGGAGCAGGGGGGGAGATGAGATCCCTCCTTATAGGAACATCAAGTTTGGAGAACGGATTTCACTAAGATAAAATACAGATAGTTTGAAGCCATATTACCATCACTGTCAGGCACGAATGGCCGACTGGCCTTTAACGATGGAAAACCATGTAGGTTGTGGGGAGTGTGCAGGCGTAGGGGTAAGTTGCCATACTCAACTACACTCTCCTAGTGCACTACATACAGGTTCTAACACCAAAGAAGCCGCAGCGCCGCCCTCTCATGGCATGGTTTCCAGCGACCGGTTATGGCTACATTAAGCCACCGTACACCCTCATCCAAGCCCCCCCCCCCCCCCCCACTACAAGACCTCCACCACCCGCAAACCCCGACTCGCACCCAGCACCGAATCACCTTCCACGAGTTGCGGCCGGCAAGCCCACCTTGCACGCAGGACCCGAGCGGCGGAAATTCACCGCCGTCCACATCCGGATCTATCCCGCGATATTGTATGGAGAGGGGGGGGGGATAGCAAAGTGCAAAGCGAGCCAAGAGGGCTGGAAATGGGGGTGGGGCAGCCTAAGAGCAGAATGAATGGCTTGAGAGTTGGAATAAGGGGAAAGGGACAAATTTGTTTATGGGAATGAGAGAACGTGTTAACTGGCTTTAATTTTCTGCTACGCATTTCATTGATTGTTTTTGTTTTGTTCTATTTTGTTTCCTTTGCACTTACCGTGTTCTGTTTTTTTTTTTTTTTTTTTTTTTGGGGGGGGGAGAGGAGGGGTTTGTCAGATATTGACATAACCTCCGGGCTGCATACAATCAATGAACCATCAATCAATGAATCAATCACCCGACTCTATCCTAAGAGCTTCAGAGCTATAAATACATAGCCCCGCTAATCTACAGACCGCAGCCAGCGCATAACCGCAGTCCCGGGGGGTACTCGTGGCTTCCCGAGATCTCTCTAAAACATTGCACAACTTTACCGGGAGTGTGAGAGTTGGGCTACACTCAGTCAGCTCTATATCCGGAAGCAGGCCTACGAGATGACGTTAGATCATGATTTATCACTCGCGAGATTTCAGGCTCTGGTTCTTTTTTTTCTTTTTTTTTTTGTTTAATTCATTAATTGCATGCGGCCTTACTATGGCAATTCAGGCTCTGGCTCTACCTTTAAGATTATAACTCGATTTGAGTGATTGCGATTTCTTAAGCTCAAACATGTTGATAGAGGTAGACCGAAGCATGGTTACATCGATTCAGGACATGATGTCGAGAAGCTAGGCATTTACCGGCTTGTTAAATCGACAATTGATCAGCACCAGGATATACTACAGCGCCAATAAATATTTCGAGTCTTGTTATTCGTGTAGCCTATTTACATGTATCTCCTAGTAGAGGATGAATAAAGGATTACTACCACCCAGAAATAGCAAACACACAGCCTGTAACTGTACCCATAACGCCTATAAAAACAGGAATATAAAAAGTACACGCCTCTGTCACAGATATACACAACGACAGAGTATGCGAAAGCAAGAAAACAAGAAGGGAAAATCTACAGAAAAGCGGCTCCCATCAAGAGCCAACACTCCTCTTCTGTATATCATCACTAATACACCTCTCCTCGGGCGGCAACAACCTCCTCACCTTATCCTCCTGCGGATCCACCACCCCATACCCCACCGGATCTCTCGACCTCAAAAAATTCTGTATCCTCTCATCCTTACTCCCCAACCTCATCGCCTCCTGCTTCCTCCTCTGCAGCTCCCTCCCAATCTTCGCCGAATTGCGGTCCGTCTGGTCGAGGAATAAATGCCCATTCGTATTCGCCCGACTAATATTCGCAATCCCTCCCAGCGACGCCAGGAACACCACAATCACTATAAACGCCTTATTCGACGTATACAGCGTCTCCTGCCCTCCCCCCGCCTTCTCCCCGCGCTCCGCCGCCGCCTTGCGCTGATAGTACTTCTCCCAGTCCTCCCAGGTCGCGTTGCGGCTCGGATCATTGGGCCCGCCCTTCCCATACTCGCTCGGCCCATGTCCCTCTCTCTCCTGCCACCACTTGGGCCTCTGCTGCTGCATCGCCGCGGCCGCCACATTCCACCCGAGGCCAAACCGATCATACGCCGCGCGCTTCGCGGGGTCCGACAGTATCGCGTTTGCAGCGACCACAAGGCGGAAGCGCTCGACGCGGACGGCCTCGGTGATGTGGAGGTTTCTGTGGCGGGCGTGGTCGGGGTGGTAAAGCTTTACGAGCTGGAAGTAGCGGGTTTTTGAGTATGGTGTTTGCTGGTTGTAGTGGAAGATCTGGTATGGGGTTGGGAGGGGGTTGAGGGGCCACTTGGTGTATTCGTCGGCTGCGGAGCCTAGGTTGGCTTCGGTGGCATAGTGCCGGGCGTTGGTGGGTGGTGTTCGGGGGAGAGCGATGGGGAGGAGGAGGCGGGTGGGAAGGGCGGGGAGGGCACAATTGGTGGAGCGTCTGCTCGCGAGCATCTCGGGTGGTGCATATGAGCTGGCTGGAGATGATGGTGTTGCGGAGAAGAGCTTTGGACGGGGGGGTCGAGGAAGACTTGAGGTTGGGCGGATGCCGGATGCATGATGACATAAAGGTCACGTGGTAGGTAATATTTCCGGTACTGCTCTAGTCTATCCCTACTAATTACATATAGCTCGAGTGGCCCTGGTACACGAGCTGTACCTGCTTGCTAGAACTTAATTAAAGAGTTTATTAATAATATACAGTAGATGTTGCAAAAAATGCGACTTTGCTGGGACTCTGGAGTTAACTACCAGGCTCAAAAGAGACGTGGACAATCCTGCATCCGCATCTCAGCGTCCGATAGCTTCTCAATCACACGATACACTTTCAGCAACGTACAAATCACTACTCCCGGTACGATATATCTATCAACAGTACCTAAGCACCAAAATCCAACAACACACATTCCACACTTTCGCACTCCATACACCATTCAACCTATCGGTACTTGTATGCACACGTCACCGAACTGCTAACGTACCAGCACCATTAACAGTCCTTCTTTGTTCCCCAACAGAGTCAGAATAAAATTATGTGCAAATAATCCTTGGCCCCCCCCAAATAATTCTTGGCGCCAAGTGACGATCATGCAACCAGGGCATCATCAATCATCATCCGGTCCACGCGGGATGCCCGAGTGAGATGAGATGGCGCAAATACCTATTCGAAAAAAAAGTTTCAATTTCGAACTTTGTGTGCCTAGCTATTCAAGAAGACCTCGCTAGAACATCGCAGACCCCGGGCGAACCACCCGCAGTCACTCTACACCCTTCCCAGCGCCCTTTGAGCCTAATACAATCTTTGCATGTTTTATTATGAGGTCTATGCCTGCAACTGCTTAACCGGCCTGAAGTAGATACACTTGGGCGACAATTTAATTAATAAATAGATACGAAGCTAAACGCACTCCCCCCCCCCCCCCCCCCACAAATTATTAGAAAACGGCATTCAACAGTTAATGCTCCGTGTACGCGTGCGCGCAAGAAATAAAACCTTTCTCTCTCTCTCAACCTCCATTAAAAAGACAACATGACTCTGGTAGATACGCCTGCAGTCACCAAAATAAAATAAAAATTAAGAACAAGATAACTCAGCCATGGTATTCGGATATACAAATAACTCCCCAAAAAACAAAAACCAGTAACAGATCCACCATAAGAAGTTAACAAGTGATATATACTTTCAAAAAAAGAAACCAAAAAAAAAAAAACTCCAATCTCAAGTCTGCACGCCATCTACAGTCTTCTCCCTAAAGCCACTGGCCGGCGAGACACCGTCATTACTGTTGTCCCCGTCGGCCATCTGGAGTCTAATCTTCATCTGTAGCCATCTGAAAAAGCCCGGGCTTCGGCAGAACTTGCGGTAGAAGGCCTCCGCAGCTCTGTGTCTGTGGAAGCTAGTCTTCCCCTTAAACTGCACCTGGCACCCGTATTTCGAAAGACTGGTTAAGAAATCCTCCTCCGAGAAGTTTGCAATGTCAATCATCCTCGAGTTTGGCGAGAGCGTGGTCAGGGTTGCGAGGTACCGGTTTAAGGGTGCCAAGAACAACGCTGAAAGGAGTGCAAAGTGACGTCGGACGAAACGCCCGCATTCCTGCGCTACATTTGAGGGGAAGAAATATTAGAAAAAAGAAATCTATCCGACGAAAGGAATAGTACATATCACTCACGTGTTGTTTCCTCATCCTTCAAATAATGCTCCAATTTCCTCAAAAATACCAAGTCCTTAGCAAGCGATCCTTTCATGTCGTTGGTAATAAAGTTGTTTGTGAACTCGCGCTCACTAGAATAAAAAGTGTGAGATTTTCGTCTGAGCATGATCATAAGCATATTTTTCCGGGGAATAGAAGATATTTACTCTCTTACTTTACTTCCGGGGCCGACAAGTAAACAACATGAGGAGAAGCACTATCTTTCCCCTGCGACAAAACCCTTTTTAAGAAAAATGGATTTGTGATACCTATTAGGTAATGACGAAATGGGATCTTGTCCGAAATGTTAGTAAATTTAATGATAGAAAGGTTCAAAAGTCTCACCACCTCATGGCCATTTAAGAAGAAATCTATGAACGATATTAGTACATGTAGGTATTCAAGTGGAAATATAGTATGTATAGGGAAGAGTTCTGATTTCCTTACCTGACTGCATAGTGAGATATGGTCGGCAATCACCACCAAATGGTATCTTGGCACAAGATTAGCAAGGTGATAGAAATTGAGATTTCTAAAGCTTACTGGGCGAATTAAATCAACGGCCGCAGAAACAAATTCACTACAGGTCCTTGGATCATCTGCTAAGACTACCAATGGTTCCGATAGTAAGACCTAAACGTATGTGTTAGTTTAATCACCCCAAAACCTGTAAATAACTACCATAATCAAAATATATCATACCCGTTCAAAAATAATATATAGCTCTGAAATTGACGTGAGAAGCTGTGCAAGCCTTGCCCAAGAACCGAGGGGTTCAGATGTGTGGATCTCTTTGTATTCCACTCTAACGTCTGTTCTGGAAGTAGAGGCAGTGACACGGCCTTGTAATGGAAACGAAGGATGAGGAGGTCTATGAATCACGGAAATCACTTGTTCAGTACAACCTCGGGGGTTATTATAAAGCAACCAAGAGTAACGCCATACATATGAACATCCAGCAGTGAGCCCAAAAACGGCAATTCTTGTACTCCGGCCTCTGGACCCGCCCAAGCAGCTATATTCGAACATGCTGACTCTATGAGCGTAGGGCTCACTGCAAAATCTAATGTTGATATTGTTTTTACGAGGTGGGCAAATAATGGTGCAAAATCATGTTGTGAGACTAATACAAGAGATTTCTGACGGTAATTTCGCTTGACGGAGGTATCGCGTTGTTGGCGGAATAAACAAAAACCGTACCAGTAACCAGGGTCGTCGTCTGTAGGCTCACAAGGAACTTCGGGCGACGAATGGCGGAATTTGAAGTGAAAGGCCGAGTCTTCGATTGTATCTGAATTTACACGCTCGGGGAAGCTATGTGTAACATTAATAAATAAGAAAAGCCTATAATATAATCATCGTAATTAATATCAAGGGATACATACCTGCTAAAACATATGGTTTGAAGATCTGTTTGCGAGAATTGAGTTGAAGGAAACATGTATTCCACTTCGACACCTGTAATGGGTTAGTAAATCTTCATGAACTCTGCCCCTTTAAAATCGCACTTGCTACTGCAGTCACTTACCAATGTCGACATTGAAGTCACAAACGACGCTGCACAAACCCGTTTATTAGCTTTGAAGGAACCTGAAAGCCCTTGGTTCCTACTCACAAAGCGATCATCCATTTTCGCAAAGCGTCTAGAGAGAAGGGGTAATCCATTATTTCGTTGGCGTGCAAGGCTGCAGTCCATGAGGATGACGAGGAAGACGACGAATCGTCGCCATTAGCAACGGAGCCGTCTTCGCCGGCCATTTCATGTCGAGGGCGCGATTGGAATTCTATTGTGAAAGCTGTGGGCGCGGGGCTCCAATCTTGTTCTGGTTACTGTTTATTTTTATTTTTCTGGGGGAAGCCAAAGGATGAGATTGCGTTCTTCGGAGGGGTAGCAAGCAATGAATGGCAGCGGGCAGCAGCTTTGCTTGGTTGGGGGTAGGCCCAAGCTTCAAAAGGGTCGTTAGAGGTGGGAATAATAGGTGTGTGGAACCCCTGCAACCTTGCGCCACAGACAACGCACAGTTTCTTGTCATCTCGACGCCACATATTCTTGCGCCCATGCATGCGGTCCTTGCTTGAAAGAAGCTGCATACATGTCCTGGGAAGGGAAGGGAATCGGAATTGACTGGTGGACGCAGTTTCTTGGATCAGCAAGGCAGGCATTTCCTACAACCTTTTCTGGCATGATCTTACCAAAATAACCAAGTTATCCCCTCATCTCGCTTTTTGATTCGTCGGCGCATGGGCTCTCATTTCGTTAACCAATGACCGACCAAGAAGTCAAAGAGTGATATGTATTCTATTCTACTCTAGGCACATGTGGTTGGGAACATCGCGCAATCATATGTATGTACTCTAAGTAATCCGAGAACGGTATTGGCCAGGAAATTATTGTGGGGGGCTAAACGAGCACAATCAGCGCGCGGCATAATCTCGTTTAGTCCTGTTGCTGAAGGGCTTTAAAGTATCGGTCCGGACCTTAATAATTCTTATTTTAGATCCTAATATATCAGACGAGTAAAAAGAAGCCATGGGACTTATTGACAGAATTACAGAGTTAACCATGTAGCTGTTTAGTGATCCTTTGGATTGACAGTGTGAGGGATCAATCATTATTCGGAATACTGAGTGACCTGCTATGATCCTGTTCTTCCTGACGTCACATCCTTTTTAGAGCTCACATACTCCAGCTATTCCCTTCAAGGGGGGCTTGACTTATGCTTAAGCAGAGCTAGAGCTTGGATTCTCACTGTTGGATTACATGTATTTCTTCTGCTTATTTATAGACTATATGCATAATTACATGCTTATCTACTTAAGTAACTGTCTTCGAATTCGAAATACATATAGATGGACTCTTTTTATTAAAGAGTCCGAAATAAATGTAGATATATAGCGGTAGCAGAAGTATGTAGTACGCTCGAGGAGAGCGACCAACTTACTTCCGTATATAGCTCCGACTATGCTATCGTAAAGTCAAGTGCAAAATATGGTTTGGGGTGGGTCACAGCTTAAGTACAGTAGCTATACCTACATGTATATGTGGTAGGCTAGTAGCTCCGAGGACTTGGCATTATGGCCGATAAGGGTATATGTAATCAACTACATTTATGTTTATGTTGATGTAAATGCATGTACGTTTACCTCTTATCACTATCATAACGCGAAATTTTGTGGGGTAGTGTATGGAAAGGTATTTCTTTCTTTTTTACCCTTTTCCTAACTGAAACAACAGAGATATGAAACCACCCACAACTCCGAATGAAAAATCCCGTTCGGCGGTTGCACAAGACCAATTGACAAACCGAAGAAAGAAAAATCATTTATCGATACCAAATACAAATATCATTCTTCCATCATATCAGCAGCACCTGGGTTGTTTGTTTCCACCTCAGATCATGGCTTCGTATGCAAAGAAGTACAACTTTTAGAACTCCGATCGAACAAAGCCCTAATTTAATTTTTTTGAAGTTCCCAGATTTGTAAATTTTTTTATTTGATCGTAAGGAAAAAAAAGAACCACATTAACCCCAACCTTTTTACCATCCGGATGTAGCAGCGGCGGGAGTCTCGGTAGCGGTAGCAGTGTCCGCAGCCCAGTCACCACCAGTAGCATCCGCATCCCAGCTCGGCGCAGGGCCAGTAGCCTCGGGGGGGACGAAAGTACCGGATTGACCAGCAACATCCCAATCAGCACCGGCGGTGGCAGCAGCAAATCCACTCTCTGGTACAGCCTCCTCAGCACCAGGAACCTTGTCGGCCTCCTCGACAGCCTTCTGGTCCTCAGCCTCGGGGTCGCGGTAAAAGTAAAGATCGGTCATGACATCCCACTCGGCCTCCCTTGAAGGAATGGTTCCACGGAGACGGAGGACTTCACGGGCAAGCATCCACCAGATGAGACCAATGGAGTTACGTGACTTGTTGTTGGTAGGGATGGCAACGTCGACAAACTCAGTGGGAGAGTCGGTATCACACAGACCAATGACGGGAATGTTGACGTACGAAGCCTCCTTGATTGCCTGGGCATCGGTGCGAGGATCGGTGACGATGATGAGGCGGGGCTCTTTGAAAGAGCGAGTGATGTAGTTGGTGAAGTTACCGGGGGTGAAACGACCAGCAATGGCAGTAGCACCAGTGTGGGCGGCGAACTTCAGGACGGCACGCTGACCGTAGGGACGGGCGGAAACAGCGCAGATATCGGCAGGGTTGTCGATAGTCGCGATGATTCGGGCAGCGAGAACAATCTTCTCCCTATAAATCACAAAAAAGAATCGTTAAACCAAGTTCGTTAAATAGATGTGTTTCAAACCGGTAAACTGATGATTGATATAGCTTCGATTGTAGAGAATTAAACTAACCAGGTCTTTCCGATGTTGATAATGTTGATACCGTCAGGCCTTGTCTTCCACACATATGGGTCCATGTGGACCTATTGCCATTTCCAGTCAGCGCTGAAAGCTTCTCCAAAACCCTTTATATCTCCCACTTCTTGATATCCAATGTGTACCCACTTGCAAGTTCTTGGAGCCCATGTGCGCCTGGGCAGCAAGGAGCATCTCAATGTCCTTGTCTGTCGCATCAAAAATCGAGCTGCGTGCCGCCGACATGATTTTAAATTTCTGGGACGGGATTGTTTTAAGATTGAAATTCGAGATCCCTCCGGGGCGTTAGGAAAACGAGGCAGCTGTCGTAAAAGTGGATGTTGTCGTGATGTTGCCTGGATCTCGCACTGTTGCTGGTTGTGAGGTTGCGGTTGAATTGTGGGCGTAAAATTACAGGGTTAGGTCTATTGGGACTGTCTTTTTGGCGGGGTGTTTGTGTGCGTGAGCCCTGTAGGTGCAGCCTCTCATGTGGCGTCGGTCAATGTGGCTGTTACAGGAGCACGTGATTTCTCGTCCCACTAATATTCGGCATCATCAGTTGTGAGTCAACCTGCCGCTCCTGTAGGTACGATATTCTGCATCTGAGCGAATCGCTTGCCCAACGCATTGGTTCGTAACATGTGTTGTCTATGGTGACGAAAGCTAAGATGAGACTTAGACCATAAATATTGACACGGCGTTGCACTACAATAAGCATAACAGCATTGGTGGTGAGCTAGCACACCCCTTTGTGTGTCCGCTGATTGCTGCTCACCACCAGTGCCAATGTCAGCAATTGTAGTTTGGCCCTCACTTTTCTTACTGCCACTTGAGATAACTACACGTAGGTACTTTCTAGACTATTTATTTCATATGATGTTTAGTTACGCTTCTCCATAATCCCAGCACCTGCAGTGAAACCTCACTTAGAATATGTACCTGGTAAATACGTAACCACTCCTGCTATTCGCACTGCCAGGATTCCAATGGCAAACGTCTTTCCAGGATCAAATAGTTGAATGGGCAATGATGCTACGTGTGTGCGTGGTCAGTCTTACCTTCAGCTACTCCACCCCTCAATTCGATGCCCGAGCTCATATGCTGCGCCACGCTTTCAAAATATTATCTTAAGCTATTGAAACTATAAATACAGCTCATATTTATCACTATCATGTCAAATATCTCTCGCACCATCCACAATAGAATCTTCATCTCTATCACTGTACTCTTGCTCGCTGTAACCCCTGTCTTCGTCTTTCCAGGAATCGATAACTCTCCACAACTCTCCACTACCGAAACCCTCAGCCGCATAACGTCGTTCCTCAACCCATTTTCAACCACAAAATACTCAGGCAACATGACTGGAAAGAAATCAGTGGCTTACTTTGTGAATTGGGTTTGTCTCTATTAAACTTGCAAATCAAGGACCAGTTTTGACGCTGAGCCCACGTATCACAGGGGATCTATGGTCGAAACTATCAACCACAGGACGTGCCAGCTGAATATCTAACCCATATCTTGTGTGAGTAATGCTAGCAGATAGTCATGAAACTAGAAATAAATGATTCCTAACGAGTAGCGTTCTTTGTAGACTCTTTCGCAAATGTTCGCCCAGAAAGTGGTGAGGTGTAAGAGACTCTGATTTCTAGAGCGCTTTCAGCTTGACTATATATATATACTTACATATACACATATAATATTCAGTTACCTGAGTGATACCTACTCTGATCTTGGTATTTTATCTCCTTCAAAGGCATGTGTTTGGACACACTAACAAATCGTTTTAGAGAAGCACTACTCCACAGATTCTTGGAACGACGTTGGGTATTCAAGTTTTGCTTCTCCCAAATAGCAGAAATGAAAGGATTAGCTAATTCATCTCATTAGTACCAATGTCTATGGCTGTATAAAACAGCTATTCCTACTCAAAAAACGCAACCGTAAACTTAAGACCCTCCTCTCTATTGGGGGCTGGACCTACTCCAGTAACTTTGCGGTTCCGGCGTCGACAGCGACTGGAAGAGAAAAATTTGCTTCCAGTTCCATAGAGCTATTGAAGGATTTGGGCTTCGATGGTATTGATATCGATTGGTTAGTCCTTATCATGGTCAAACGATGTTGAGGTTTGCAATTCTAACGTTATTGTCATTTATAGGGAATTTCCTAAAGGTATCTTTGTTATCCATGTTAATACAAAACCCCCAGGTTAAGTGGGCGTTTGCTGACCTTTAATCTATTTCAGATATTACTGAAGCACAAAACTTCGTACTGCTCCTAGCCGAGTGCCGCCGTCAATTAGACGCCTACGCTGCTCGGCACTGTCCTGGAACAAGGCTTCTTCTGACGATTGCTGTAAGGAACCCAAATTATCGCCTATCATTCTTCCAAAAAGTGATG